CATCTGGCCCATCAAGACTCACTCTCATTTCATCAGTCCATAAAACCTTAGAAAAATCATTCTTGAGATATTTCTTGGCTCAGTCTTGACGTTTCAGCTTGTGTGTCTTGTTCAGTGGTGGTCGTCTTTCAGCCTTTCTTACCTTGGCCATGTCTCTGAGTATTGCACACCTTGTGCTTTTGGGCACTCCAGTGATGTTGCAGCTCTGAAAGATGGCCAAACTGGTGGCAAGTGGCATCTTGGCAGCTGCACGCTTGACTTTTCTCAGTTCATGGGCAGTTATTTTGCACCTTGGTTTGTCCACACGCTTCTTGCGACCCTGTTGACTATTTTGAATGAAACTCTTGATTGTTCGATGATCACGCTTCAGAAGCTTTGCAATTTTAAGACTGCTGCATCCCTCTGCAAGATATCTCACTATTTTTGACTTTTCTGAGCCTGTCAAGTCCTTCTTTTGACCCATTTTGCCAAAGGAAAGGAAGTTGCCTAATAATTATGCACACCTGATATAGGGTGTTGATGTCATTAGACCACACCCCTTCTCATTACAGAGATGCACATCACCTTAAAATGCTTAATTGGTAGTAGGCTTTCGAGCCTATACAGCTTGGAGTAAGACAACATGCATGAAGAGGATGATGTGGACAAAATACTCATTTGCCTAATAATTCTGCACTCCCTGTATATTTATATTGAAACTAATATGTATAAAATATAATGTTATCTCCCGTGTCACATGACGTTACACGATCGCTGTGGAAGCCACGGTCATGTGATGCAAATCTGTTCCATTTAACCGTTTTCTTTGACCAAGGAAGGACAGTGTCCTCATAAGCAAGGCGCCTGGCCTTGCGAGGCCAGGCGCCTTGACATTGAGAAACACCATATGTTTCTCGGCTGACCAGTGAATGCACTGGAATTCCCCTGGAGGAGATGGGAAGTGGCTGGGGAGAGGGGACTCTGGGCCTCCCTGCTTAGGCTGCTGCCCCCGTGACCCCTAGATAAGCGGAGTAAGATGGATGGATGGATATATTAAAGTATGCCTGGAGGGGTAGAGGGCTTATTTCTAGTCTCTAGACATTTTGTTTTGTTCGTTTTTATTTGCAACACCTGAAATTAAGCTTTTCAAAATAACAAAGTCCTTTAATGTGACGTATTCTAGTAATATTGGAAAAGCTGAGATGAAAGGTCAAGAAGAAGAGACGTGGGACGCTTGAGGATATGTGCTGCTTAAGGATGGCCGAGACAGCAACTGAACTACACATCACCTTTACACACACACACACACACACACACACACACACGTGTGTACAAGCTGGTAAACATTTAACTCTGACAACAGCCTCCACCTCGTCATCCTCAACTCTTTTTGTGTCTCATTTTAAGACGTTTCTAAAAAAAATCCTGTTAAATAGAACAATGCTGCTCAGAACATCTCGCCTATAAATGGTGCCAAATGAAATCATTTCCTTCTTACCCTGGTTTCTCTGTGCTTTTGCCAGGCTCATCTAATAGTGATGGGAATTCTGGCTCTTTTTAGAGAGCCGGTTCTTTTGGCTCAGCTCACCAAAAAGAGCTGGCTCTTTCGGCTCCCAAGTGGCTCCTCAGATTTTCTGTTGCGTAGAGTACATTTATAACCAAAATAATGCAAAACTATATGTAAAATGATTTACTAATGTAAAAAAATGTAATATATCAAATATTTATCATTTCTATGGATTTAATAACTGAACACTTTAAGAAATCTCCACTTTCCGACTGCTGGCGCTCATTTTCTCACCGTCTTCGTCGCACTCTACTCTCTCTCACTCGCCTTTTTCCTCCTCCTCATTCCCTCTCGTCTCCCTCCACCCGCATGTGCTCTGCTGTGTATCTGTCTGAGTCTGATCCTCCCTCTGACCCGCCCTTACTGCTCTGTGTGTGGACAGTCTGGAGATGTTGACCAGTCGCCTGTAGCTTTCACCAAAGCAAGAGGGGAGGGGGAGGGGAGGGGACGGCTTCCAATGACGAGCCGGTTCCCGTCGTTCACTTCAAAGAGCCGGCTCTTAGAGCCGGTTCGTTCGCCACCGTCACATCACTATCATCTAAGTCTCATGTTGTCCATTACAACCTCAGAGGTACAAAGGTGGCTTTTATCTAGCAGGAACAATGGCGTCAAAGAATATTTTGCCCTTTTTTTTTTCAAAGATAAGTGATTATTAATGAAAATCAACAGAACCTTTATGGCTAAAGCACATTCTGTCATGTTAAATAAAAAGAAGGCCTGTTATAAAGAAGGTTCTATTAACATACGCAGATTGGAGAGACTACAGAGTAGAATCTGATGTTTTAATTTAGTTTTAATCACAAAGCAGAAATAACTAACATAAGATTTCTATCTACTCTGATCCTTAATGGTTGTTGTATTAACACTCAAACACCTTTAGAAGCTAATAATGACCTCACTGCTGATTTTAATCAAGGCCACGACTGACCTGATTCCCTAAAACAAGATGGATACTCGTTTATTCTCTTTTTTTAAAAGAATAGATTACGTTTTTATCTCCATCTAACCTTCTTCGCCTTCACTCGTACATTTCCTCCTGGAAAGTGTTTCTTTGTTACAGACATCTATATTAGACACGCTCACAGCTTAGGACACAAAAATAGCTCAAGTTCCTCCAGCTTGAATGACTAACATGCAGTTCTGTTGGGAAAAAGAAAGAAGAGAAGCCAATGGCTTATAGTGACCCCAAAAAGAAATAAACTCACCCAAGGGCGTCAGTTTGTTTTCAGAATTGCTGGGGACAATAACCATACACTTGAGTGGGGTTTAAAAATTGCTGGGGACAATAAAGTAGGCTAGCACAGGGGTCGGCGGCTCTGGAACTGCATGCGGCTCTTCCATCCTTCTGATGCGGCTCTCTGTGCTTGTGAAATAATGAATGGATATTTAAATAAAAAGCTTTATATTTTACTGCATTAATTTTACATCTGTATGCTAATTCTAAATGTAAAGATTGTCTGCGTAAACCTGAACAGTTCCAACCCGGTCTTACTGTGAGACCGGGTTGATGCGTCACGCTTGTGCGTAATCATAGGCGCTTCTGAGCTGCTTTCTGACCTTCCCCACCTACAAAGTTTAATTACAACAATCAAACGTGACAGAACCTGGATTTGTATTCTGAACAGTCTAAACATGTTTTAAAAAGAAACATAGGACAAAAGTGGCACCTGCTCAGTAAAACCATCAACAGGGTGAAAAATACCAAAAATTGAAGGCAGAGATGGGCTACAACTTCTGGATCCATTTTATATAAATTGTTTTATTGATTATCGTCTAATGAAAGATAATTAAGACGTACATGAGCGATCAGGCGCGTTGCAAGCTTTTCAAAAGTGTGGGGGATGTTGTCTGTGCCTAAAATAATTTCATGTTATTCATCTTGTTAGTTTAATTTCCGTAATAGCGGAGCAGGTGCGAATTTTAGACGCGTCACGCATGTCTCCATTTTAAACATGTTTAAACTGTTCAGAATACAAATCTAGGCTCTGTCTCGTTAGATTGGTGTAACTAAAGTTTGTACTGAATGAAACTTTACATTAAACCATGTTGAAAAGTAAAGGATCCGATTAAATAGTTTCCCCCTCATTTACAGTCAGTACAGTGCAGTGCGCACGGCTCTGGGGTTAATCAAGTTTAATTGTAACATTAATGTGTTACTGGACACGCTGGTCTGGTTGGTTAGACCAGTGTTTGAAGTGGAAAACACACACACACACACACACACACACACACACACACACCAATTAAAATAATGCTGATAGCGTGGATAGAAGACAGGTGATGGTTTACGTATTTAAATGATGATCAGGCTGATGTAAAATGTAATCTCCATCCACATCCAGACACAATCATCCTCTATTCTTTCTCTGTTTGCTCTGCTTTTGTCTGGGCTGATCAGCTGATGGTGCGCGCGGCACGCCTAGCGGCTGATGCACATTTTACGCATTTGGAGAGGTGGACTGGATGCTTTGCGTTTACTGGAAGTTGGTCCACTTAACGCACGGTTGTAGACTAAATATTAATGACAAATGAATGAAAATTAAATTGTGAGTTTTTACTTCATATTTTAGAAATAAAAATGACTGGGGAAAACATTTATGACGTCTTTTTAAACTAAATTTTCTAGCGCGACCTGCCTGCTTCACTTAAGTCACTGCTTATTAAGGTCCGTCCAAAATTACCGTGGCCCACCCAAAAATGAAAACCTGGCGCCGCGCCAGTTATAAACCTCTGCAAATTGTTGTTCTTCACTTTATCAAACTCAGACTTTGTACAGCTAAATTCAAGATGTAAAATTATGAATTCAGTCGAGCTCTTCCGTCCCTCCCTCTCCTGCTCTCCTGGAAACCCGACATCGGCTGGGAGGTGAAGAAGGAGATGAGGCAAACAGAGTGAGTGCGACGTAAAGAAACCAGACTGGTGTGGAGGTGAGCAAAACAGCTGGAAAAGTGTGGGTGTTGGATCCCCCACGGGTGCGATGCCCCCGGCTGTTGTCACCTGTTGTGAGCAGCGCTCTGCTGTCTGAGGCTAGGCCCCGCCCGCAACGCTGCGGCTGCTGCGGTGTTTTCTTTACCGTGGGAAATGGGTAATAATGGCTCTTTGATGGGAACAGGTTACCGACCCCTGGTATAAGATCTGAGCAGGTAAAACAAAAATCCTCATCAGCAGGCTTTTTTGAAAGTGGGGGGGACACAGCAGCCGATCACGAATTTTGCCGGGGACATGTCCCCGGCGTCCCCGGTTAAAATGACGCCTATGCTAACAAAGAGACAAAGATGTGTTTCATTTTATAAGGATACATTGAGAGCGATGTTGGAGAAACGTTTTAAAGATGGTATGAAAAATCAAAGTAAATATCACACAGCCTTGAATAACGACAAGTGGCTATTGTTTATATTTCAGAATAAAAGCATTTATTACTGTTTTAATGACTGGGTGCCTTAACGAGGTGCAGATATTTGAAGCCCATGCTGACACGCGGCGGCCCCCCACTGGCTAACTCGCTGCCACAGTGGTGTGGCGAATTCGCTCAATTCTGCAGCCAGCGTTCGCCGGAGGTAAGACTTCCACACGCTAAACAGATTTCACAGAATACACAGTAAAAACTGATTTCTAAGAAAGGTAAAAGAAAAAATAAAGTCACATTTTTAGACATTTTATCTTATTTTTAATCTTAGAAGAATAAACATTATTCGAAGCTTCTGATAGAAAATTCCAAGGATTCAAATTTCAGGATTTGAAAAGACCATCTTGACTCGTGGTTGTTGGTTTAACATGCAGGAAACAGCAGAACATCTCGGCTAGTAGAAGCTAACCATTAGCATTAGCAACTCCACCACACAGCAGATCTCTTTTAGGCTTCTGTTATTTGTGGAGATAAAACATCAACATAGCAAACTGAGTCAGTGGTATTTGAACCTTTGCTTACCTTATTAGCAGAGCTTTTTTTTTTACTCTGATCATATTTCATAATATTTACCTCATTTTAAGCTATTTTTCTAGAGATTTTCTCCCTTTAGACAAATAAATAAGAGAAAATGTCTTAAAAATTTGGCTTTTTTTTTTGTTTGTTAGAAAAACTCCTTTTTTTGCAGTGTAAACAGAAACTTTATTTTATGTTTTGCAATTCAGGATGAGGAGCAGCTTCGTGACACCCACCAGGACAACTCCAGCGTCGGTTTGGAGAAAAGTGAGGTTTCGTCAACAACAAGCAACTCCGATTCAGAGCACCGGGATGATCTGCTAGAAGGAGATTTGGGTCTCGGAACCGGTCCGTCATCGAGGCCCGATTTTCCCAGGGTCTCTTCTAGTTCTGACCTTTCCACCCCAGCTGCGTTAACCCTCACTCCCCCACCTCCCTCTGAGCATGGGGACTCTGGTCAAAGCGCTTGAAAGGAGCTGAGTGGGAGTTAAGAGTTACTGCAGCCACCAAAAGGTCACACCATTTTTTCTCTCATGTATGTGTGTGTACTTGTGCATGTGTGTGTGTGCACTTCCTGTTGCTCTTCTGGGTATATTTTACATGTGAATAGATTTCATGCTACATGGCCACATAAAAGTTGATTTCATCCATATGTTTAATGATAAAAAGGCAGCAGCGTTTCCCTTAATCAGTCAAACTTGTATTTGGTGACATTTTTTTCCTCCTCCTGTTCCAAAAAGGTCCTGATTAAACTTTCATTGCACTGTTTTCTGCCGTTCCCGGTCCCTTTCACCCCTGAGTTTATTCATCAGCTCGCTCCACGACTAGCTCATCGTCCTGCAACGCGACAGAAATATTCCAAAAAGTATTAACCACGCTTGAAAAAGAGACTGTTAGGGTGGCAGGTTTCGTCCAAGTCTTTAATTATAGATTGCACTTTGCTGCTTTCTGTTTGTGTCATTGTAAATCTCAGTGCCACCCCCACTGCCTCCCTCCTAGTTGACTCCCTCGACAGCAGAATGGTGGTATGTGCTGCACAAACAACATCTCTGAAGGTTAGGTAGCCTTGTGGACATCGGCATGTTAATGTTTTCAAAGTAAAAGCCTTTCCTTTTGTGAACGGCCGCGTGGACGCACATGTAGAACGCAACTGTTTTTAGGCTTGTGCTGCTGCTAATGTAACCCTTATAACCTCCACAGTTTGCTGTAATCACAAATGGAGCTTGAGAACAGACTGAATCAAAACAATAATGGAGACCTTAAAATATGCCAACATGTTTATGTTTTCGGTTCTGCAGCTTGACTCTTTTTTTTACTTTTGATGCTAATAAACTCGTGTTTGTTATAATTTGACTGTCCACATATGTTCATTGTTCTTATTAAACCAGAAAAACTCATTTTAAAGCACCTCACAGAACGATCAGGGACCATTTTTAAAGGAAAAAGCTGCTCATCACAATTTTTCTACACCTTCATATAATTTTATTTCCTCAGCCGCTTCCTGCCAAGCTTTTCAAATTTAAACTCCAGAAGTTAAAAAAGGATTGCTCAGCCATTCTGAAGAGCACTTCTGTAAACGTTATAATTAGTATCTTACTAAGAGCTTTCTGTTTGGCGAAATAACGTTTACATCCTACGGACTGACGGGCTAATGGCTAGGTGCTGCTAGCGTCAAACAGGTCCAGTCTCCTGTGCAGTCATGCAACGTCTTAGTTTTGTACATAAAAAATTAATTATTACAAGAATTTCAGCAAAAAACATGTTTTAATCCCAACCTCTGGAATCACCAGCTGATAATATTTTAGTAAATAATCATATTTACATGTAAATAATGCAAAAATCAGGAGATTGGAGCCATTTTAAATCGGCAGGAATAAACTTTGGTCTCCATTAGGTTTGTACTCACTGTTATTATTCTTATTTTGTGTTTTTAGACTTTTCTTTTACCCTTGTACTGTTTTACTTGTAATTTGCAGCTGGTACATCTGAATTTCCCTGCTGTGCAACAGTAAAGGCTATTTATTTTCTAGCTCATCAGCCCTGTAGAATGTTAACACTATTTCTCCAAACTGGGGCTGTTCCGGAAAGCATAAATTGTAAGACTGTAGTTATTTATAACTTTTTGCACAGAAATTCAATTCTAAATTGGCTAAAGTCTCAAAATTTTAAAGGCTTTTACATTAAATATTTTGTCCTTTCCAATAGAATTTAAGCAGAATTTTAATTTCCCTTTTTAATGGAGACCTGCGGAGATTTTATTTTATTTAATTTTTTTTGTCAGTGCCCATTTTTGGTGTCTGTTTTATTCTCATGAGCAGACATTCATGTGCATGCAGATCACATCAAACCCGTTTTTACCGATAGCTTTGCCTCTGCTACACATAAACAGTGATTACCTGCAACAGAGCGATAGCAAAGACAGGGGAGATGAAAAGTGCCGGAAGGTGAACAAGGCGAGATTACTGTGCTATTCCGGTTTTCCTTCACTCCAAATCTTTTGGGTAAATAAACAGTGTCCAGATTTCCTAAGCCCATCACTATTGGAGTTATTTCCTGCAGCTCAACTAATCCCATATTTAGAGCTGCGGCGTTGCACAGCTACTACAAAACACAAGCTGCTGCTTCATTCCCCGTTTATCAGACATAAAAAGGACTGTTCTGTTTTGAAACTGTTTAAAATCACAGAAGAGCTGCAGGTGTTGGCAGTCAAAAGGTGTGCATATTCACCTGTTGTTAAAAAATGTGTGACTGCTAATAAACATAAAAAAGCGTTGGTTTAGGAAAAACCACGATTCTGACACGTCAGGGTTTCGCCTATTTCCTTCTGAGCGATGCTGACTGTAAACAGGAAGTGTGTTTACCAGACAAACTCTACAGGGCACTTTTAAGTTTTGTAGCTAATGGCAACTAATGGATGACAACGCAGCGGCCCTTCAGGGAGAGAAGCCTGATGTAAAACTCGCTGAACGGTGGCGAAATGAACAAGTTAACAAAACAACTTTAATCTGAGCGATTTGAGAACCGCTTCCCCCGTTTTCCCTCTCGTTTCTGTCAACAATAACACACGAACTGCTTGTTTCCTGTGAACTTTACTGAACTTTCTCAGATCAGGTGTTTTCATAAGAGCAAGCAATTGTAAACATTTGAAATGGTAGAACAGACTGCTCACACCGACAGAGATGTTTCAGCTCCAGAGTTGTGACTATGTCCACAGTGCATGACATCATCATCATCCCCACAAGGACGCTGACAAAATAAAATAAAAACAAAAGAGAAAACCCCGTTTCTTTAAAAACTAAAAAAAGTATTTCAGGACAGCTGCTCTGATGACACCTCCACGTTATGGCACGTCAACAAACCAAGTTACTGATTGTCTCCAACTTCAAACGGACCCTAAAAATAAACATTAATAATGGATTTATTTCTATTTTTTTCTTTTTACCCGCTAGTTTTACGTTTACAGACAGTATGGAGACTGAAAAATTAGATATTTAAAAAATTTTGAACATTCAAAAATAATCTCAAAACATCTACTTTGAAGTGTCACTGAAAGATATGTGAAATGTAGTTTCTGTTATTTTCCTTCAGATTATTCAAGTCCGCAGCCTCGCATCATCAAACGTATCCAGTATAAAAGAGTCGACCGAGAAAAAAAATAAAAGCATGATACATTCCAAATGTGGCCAGTGGAGCTCCTCAAACACTGAAAAGTAAAGCTTTGATTCCACAATAAGAGGGAACGGCACTCGATGAGAAATGGACATTAAATTAGGTCTTTGGTGGTGAGGATGTTTGATTGGGGTTTTTTTTTTTCATTTTCACAATTTGGAGCGAGTCAGTAAGGATTTGCTCAAGTCCTTGGCCTCCCCTGCTGTTCTCACTCTTTCGTAGCCCAGAACAGACATGGAGTGGTGGCAGTAGTCCTCCACTTGTTTGATCTGCTGAATGCTCAGCACCGTTCTCCACGCGCTAGCGGCTTGTGTGGCGTTCCTGGAGGAGACGATGAACGGCTTCGAGGAAGAGCTGGAGCCGCTGGTCATGTTGAGAGCAAACAGCTCGATGTCGTGGTTGTTGGTGAGGTTGGCAAAGCGGTAGATGCTCCTCAGCGTCTTCACCGGGTTTTCCACCAGGTCTTCGTACCGCACCGCCATGTACTTCCCCTTCAGCCAGCTGGGCGGGTTTAAAGCAGTCCTTAAGGTCCTGGAGGTGCGGTCGCAGATCACCTCCATGGCTCCGATGGAGTGATAGTCGGAGCCGTCCTTCTTATTGGCTTTGTGGCCCGGATCCACAAAAGGTATCCGTCGAAGTTTAGGGTCCCTGCTGCGAACCACCTGTAAGTTCTCCCTGATCAGGCCGTGTCTAGACTTAATCCTGGAGTTAGCGACGGCCCGCGGGTCTCTAACCAAATGTATCACCTTCAAATCCAAGGATGGATCCTCCATTAAAGGAGCCAGCACGTTTACATCCAGGATACGCACCCCTTTAATGACTATGGTGTTATATTTGAGGCACTCCTCCTCCAGAAGTCTAAGGCTTTGAGGGGGGCACTTTTTACACACCTTATCATCCACCATCCCCACCACCTCCTTCCTGTAGGCTGAGCAGAGGGGATAGGAGCACACCACTTTATTCAGGGTGGCCCCAAACAGTCCCAAGGAGGTGAAATTCTTGCCTCCGGGGCTGTTATAAAGTTGGAAAACAGACAGATCACAGCGATACAAGGAGCTAAGCATGTCTCTGGCTGCCCCTTGTAAAGACACGGCGTCGCCAGGGTAAAGCTTCTGCCAGATGTGCCACATGGGCTCATACAAAAAGAACACTTCTGGATTTTGGTTGAAAAGCTCCCCGAAAAAGGACGAGCCCGACCTCCAGGTGGTCAGGACGTAGATGAGCTGTCTCTTTTTGGCCAGAGAGGGCCTGTAAAGGAAGCGAATGTCAGATCTGCTCTGATAAGTGGTGCTCCTCATCTGATGGTTGCACTGCTGTGGCTCCTTGGTCCATTTATAATTAGCCAAATTGAGCATGGTGAGGACCAGCAGTAGGAAATAGGCCATAAACAACACAATCCTCTTTCTGCGGAGCACTTTCATCACGATCCCAGGCTGTGCTATTATCTTGGTGTGGTTCCTGTAGGTTTTGAGCTTCCTCCCAAAGCCAGCATCCTTCTCCCAAGGCGCTGTCAACTTCAGTGGTTGATGGTATTGTTTGCCTCTCATCTGTGCCCCTGGAGTGTGGCTCCCACCGCTGGACAAAGCTCTACATTGAAAATGCACCAACGCTCTGTAGAGTGTGTGTATGGGGGGGCTGCACTGGGAATAAATTCCCAGTACAGAAGCGGGTGATTAGGTAATATATTCCCCTCCTATTCGGCAGCACGATTTCCAGTTTTCACTGCACTGCGCAATGCTCTTCATGGGAGCGATGGGGGACAGACGCCTTCTTTAAGTTGTCCATAGTAGCGTTGCAGTGATTCAGCGGTGTGGCCCGTGTTCACAACAAAAAAGGGGACGCCTTCATTGTAACAGACGCCCTGCTTCTTCTTCTTCTCGTCCATGCTCAGCAGAAGCATCTCTGCGCAGCAAACATCCTGAGGATCCGTGCAGCTCCGCTCAGACGCAACATGGAGCGCGTTTCCTCCGCAGCGCGCTTAAATCATGTCGGGATGTTAACGAGAAGCGCCTGGGTCCGCAGTCACGGCTTCCCGAGCTGCTCCAGGGCTCGTCTAACTAATACAAACCGAGCAGATTCAATCAGAAAGCAAGAGGACATGCGTCCCGCCCTTAGAGAGCGCCTATTGGGCGCGGGGCGTGACGTAGCGCGGCATCGAGCCTCGCTATTGGCTCTGCCGCCCGCCCGTGAAGTGGAAGCTACAGAAATGGTTGAATGCTGTTATTATGAGATGGAGAGCTCGCAGTCTAACCACCTCCACCCATCCGTTTTTGGAACACGAGCGAAACAGAAATCGCTTTGATGAAACATTTTTAATTTAGTTTTTTTGCTTTTCAAAGCCACAATTCACCACGCTGCTGTCTCAAGGATCGACGCCCCGTTTAAATCCAACATCTAGTCCAAGTTCTGTAATTATGTGGATCTCTCCACAAACTGCAGGGTTGAATCAATATTTTAAATTAAATTAATTTTTTTCCCTAATTTTTGCCTCTATAGGTTTTCCCAGATCCATAAAAAGGAAAAAGCTAACCGACATCACAGTTAAAGAGAATGTTTAATCTAGAAAACACACAAGTTAATTAGTGATGCGGCGATAATAATGGGAAAATAGTCATTTGGAGGAAAAATTGTAGTCCATGTGCTGAAGAACCCACGTGATTTATTGATATAAAATCATATTCATAAAAAGATTGCCTGTTTTGGATTACTGGCTCAACTGAAAAGAAAAAAACTATACAAATATCTCAAACATTTTATATCATTGCCATGATTTAGTCATACATTTCATTCATCATTGTTATTTGTCAGGTGTTATCTATCAGTGTTATTAATTTAACTCACCAATTGTTTTGACATAATTTGTTGTTTTTACATTTGATTTAAATACAGCTGTGTTACTGGGGGAATAGGGAAGTCTGTTAGTCTAGAGCATTTTTGATGAAAATGAGAACAATGCCAGTGCAGCTGCAGTTTCTGCACCAGCTAAGCAATAAGGTGGATTCAGATAATGCAATGTCTAAATCACAAAGGGCATTTGAAAGAAATCTGGATCAGGAGAATATGTTTTGACAAAAATCCCATTGTTATTCAAGGAAAATGCTCAAACAGTTTATTCCAAAATACGTCTTAATTATATAATGTTATACTATTATTGCATGATTTGATACATGTTTTGTAAAAATACAGTTCCACATTCTGTAAAAATAAAAGAACAGCAGATCTCTCCATCCCACAGATGCTCGTTTTGCATTGATCCAATGTTTTTTAATTAAAGCTTTGTGCACACTCCCCTCTACTGGACTGACGCTTCAAAAGCTCACAGAATCGGACTCTTTAGTAAAAAGATCTGTAATAATCTGTATTCAAATTAATTTTCTTCAACATAGTAATACCCGTTAAAACACCAAAAACATCTTATTAAGGAAAAACATAAATTAACAAAGTCGTTTTATGTTGTTTTGTTCTGTCATTCTATTATAAAGCTAAAATGAAGTCTAGTATATTTTGTCTACAGAAGCATGTTTCCTGTAAATTCATCCTAAATAATTAGCTATTTTTGCTTCATGTAGGAGGTTTGGCCCGTTTATGATCAATGAACACAACAGACTGTTACGTAATCATGACTCACCGCTGCCCTGCGCGTGCGAGACACGCCAGCGCGCGCGTGGAGGTGGGCACATGCGCAGTAGCATCCTTGGCCATCAGCATCAGGACCACTAAACGTCTACGGAGAGAAGATGGTGCATGTAAACACGGCGAAGGAAGTGACAGCGTCACCCTATCGGACCGTGGCCGCGGTTGTCGTCGACTAACGCGTTGTTTGAAGTCGAAAAAACGAGCATTAAAATATTTTTTTTTTGCTAGAAAAACAGCGTGCGGGGACATGCGACGGTGTTAGCAAGGCTTATCGATTTAGCCTCAATGACGACGGTTGGAAAGCTCCGCGGCGCTCCGTCAGGCTTCAGAAGGATTCCTCCGCTGTCAGCTCACATGACGGGCTTTTTTGTGTGATGGTCGCCGCTTTCTAGTGGGATGCACATCAGTGCTTGGCCGTACTCGCTCTCCGTCGTCATGGCAGCTCTGTACCAGGGTACGGACGCCTCCTCTCCGGACAAATTCCTGGCCCTGAAAGACGTGAGGGAAGTTAAGGAGGAAACGACGCTGGATGAGAAGCTCTTCCTCCTGGCATGCGAGAAGGGTTTGTTCACATTTCTTCACATTTTAATATTGTTATTTTAATTCAGTTTAACGTAACGCATAATTTTGACCTTATTTGTGCACGTGTCTCATTTTTTAGGCGAGTTTTTCATTGCTGAAGCTCAGAATGCTTCACAGGGGAAGGATGCTTTAAGCGTAAAGCCAGTCCCTGTTACTGTGGCCATATAAAGTCTGTGTAAACACATGTGCGCAGCTGAGACTGTCCTTTGAGGGAGATGTTATTGTTACACAAGATTAAAGGAGCAGCTGGAGCCAAGCATGCTCTGTTACTACCTCCAGTGTGAGAGTGAGTCCTGGTGTTTGAGTGTGGAAGAAGGAGCTAAATTCACCACGAATGTGCATTTCCCCAGGTGACTACTACATGGTGAAGAAGCTGCTTGAGGAGAACCGACATGGCGAGCTCAACGTCAACTGCGTGGATGTTCTGGGAAGAGATGCGGTGACCATCGCCATCGAGAACGAGAATCTAGACATCCTGCAGCTTCTTCTTGAGTATGGTTGCCAGGTAACCAACACACAGGCATCACTTTAAGCCTTGCATTATAAGTATGATCTTTTCACATATTAGGTGTGTGTGTGTGTGTGTGTGTGTGTGTGTGTGTGTGTGTGTGTGTGTGTGTGTGTGTGTGTGTGTGTGTGTGTGTGTGTGTGTGTGTGAGAAGACAACAGATGCCTTGTTGGTAGCCATAGACTCAGAGGTGGTGGGAGCTGTGGACATCCTTCTCAACCACAGACCGAGGCGATCCTCAAAGCCGTCTATCGCAGTGAGTCTCCTCTTGTGACCTCTCTAAAACAACCGAATAATGTTTTTATTTTTGAACAATATTTTAGATATGTTTTATTTTGTCTTAGAAACTAATGCAGCGGATTCAGAACCCAGAGTATTCCACCACCATGGACGTGGCTCCAGTCATCCTGGCAGCACACAGGAACAACTACGAGATCCTGACGATGCTGCTGAAGCAGGACATCTCGCTTCCCCGGCCACATGCAGTTGGCTGTGAATGCATGCTATGCAATGCTAAAAACAAGAAGGACAGCTTAAGACACTCCAGGTACAGGCCCAAAGGATCCTACAGAAACAATATGCCAGAGATCATTGTTTCAGTGAGAGCTAGCAAGTGTTTTTGTTGCATCTACAAAGAAATTATTTATGCAAAAGCCTTTTAGAGATGCTTTTAGCTGTTATTACAGCATAATCCGTGTTCCACAGAGAATAGCTAATGGACTTTATAATCGTTCTTTAGTTATCTAGCATCAGAGAGCCAGTTTTATTGATTTTTTTTTTTTACATCGCCGTTTATTTTACGTTCAAATGTAAAATTCATTCAGAGTTTTTATACAAACAAAACAGGAAAACAGTGTTATCTTCAGACAAACATAGACACTTATTCCATCTTGGGTTTGCAGATGAGAATTTTCTGATCTCTTCTCTTCCACTGGGCTGTTTTCTTCTTCCACCCACACAAAGCACAACGATCCTTCCACAGTCTCTGCAAAGCACAGATTATGAAGCAAACACAAATAAATCAGCCAGAAAATGGATTGTTTTGCCTATTTAATCCGCTCTGTTGCGTTTACTTCTACAGTAAGTGAATGCAATCCTGTGCATTAAGCTAAAAGCAAGTTATTGAAATATTATATAACCTCAAAGTCGTCACATGACGTGAATTAAACAGCAGGCTGTTTTTGATATGTAAATAAAAGCTAAAAATTCTATTTTTAAGTTATTAAGTGCAGAAGGAGCTCAGTGACACATCTATAACTTTTTATATTTATGCTGGAAAGCTTGATTTGTGACACCTTTGTCTTTAATGTACCAGAAAAGTGTTCTGTTGCATTCAAACCAGGCAGCTTACTTGGAATATTCTGCCTTATTTTACAGCTGTGAAATGAAGACATTCGTTAATGGTCCACAGCCTTTTATGGATCAGGAATATTTAAGATAATCATGCAAAGAACAAACAAAATTCAGCTCATAACAAAAAAGTTTCATAATTAAAAAGTTATTCAAGGTGTCACATGGAACACGAGTACCAAAGCAACATCTAGTGTGCGGAGGTTTGCAGCCGATATGTGAAATGTTTTATGTGGGTCCATCTGGTGTAGGCTTCACCTAAACTCACTCTGGTTTTAGATCTTTTATGGTCGCTCCTCTTCTGAGAAGAATAACGACATCTTCTGGGCTCACCCGGGAGGAGGGGGGTCTTTACCCGAGACAAAAATAGCACAAGGTGACCAGTAAACAGTGTCAGGTGGTCTGTATGTCTCACAGATACACAACTCTGCACCAAAATGGTGGTGATGTTGAACATTCTGCTCAATTTTCTGGCTTTTAGTCAGACTCAGACTTGTTCTGTGTGCACACAAAGCGGTACAAGTGATAATGCTGCTGGAATTCATGATTTTATCCTTCTCAGCAGCAGCACTGCAGGTGCTCTCCATGTCCAAAATGTGCGTAAGTCAGGTCCTCAGTCAACTTAAAGTTGCGCACATTTTTCCGCTAAGTTTTCTGTCATAAATCCCAAAGTTTGTGTGGAAAGTTGCTTACGCAGTTTTCCGAACCCGTTTTGTGCGTAAGCAAGCTTGATAAATGAGGCCCCGGGTGTTTTCACGAGATCTTGTGGGTCATTCAGAATGAAGGCAGTAAAAAGTGCTGCCACCTAGCAGTCGGAGATCTAATTGCACCACACAAAAGACAAACAGTAAATATTTACACGTCAATTCTCAACAAAAAATAATTTATACTGGTTTTAAATATTGATTCTATATCGTACCCCAAAGTATCGAGTGTATCTATTTTCATTCATCCCTATTACCCTTTATATACATAAATATATGGTATACTGTTATTTCTACCATTTTAACCAACTTCTGTTTATTTTCAGGTTCCGCCTGGACATCTACCGCTGTTTGTCGAGTCCTTCCCTCATCATGCTGACCGAGGAGGATCCTATTCTCAGAGCGTTTGAGCTCAGTGCAGACCTAAAGGAGCTCAGCCTGGTGGAGGTGGAGTTCAGGTGAATCTCTGAGCATCCAGTGGAACAATCCCACGGACATGTATACAGGAAGTTAATGCAGAGATATCAGCGAAAGGCAAAAGCCTTTACGGACTCTGACGGCGTCTAATTTATTCTCTGCAGGAACGACTATGACGAGCTGGCCAAGCAGTGCAAGATGTTTGCCAAGGATCTGCTGGCTCAGGCTCGGAACTCCCGGGAGCTGGAGGTGATCCTTAATCACACCTCTAGCGAGGATCATGTTGATAAGAGAGGCCTGCTGGAGGAGCGCATGAACCTTAGCCGGCTTAAACTGGCCATCAAGTACAACCAGAAAGAGGTCAGTTAGTGAAAGTCTGCAAATTGTAATAAATGTCAGCAGATAAAAGGATCTCGGCTTTCATTTAGTGTATACCTAAAATCTGATGGAGGTCAAAATAAAAGATTAATGATCTGCTATGTAGTGTGCTTGCTGTGAGATTTAACAGCTCCTGTAGAACATTATGTGCTTGTTTTTGGGAAATCAGCTCAATGTACTTACTTCCAGCGACAAACTGAAGCTTTAAATACAACGAAGCTGGATCATTTACAGCCGGGGTGGCTGGAACAGGATGGCTTGTAGAATATAGTTTCCAGCAGGAGGAACGATATCAGCTTCACATATCAGCATGCACATTTATGCAAAAATCAGTAAAAATAAACAACTAAAAAATGTTCTTTTTGAGTAAAAGTTCTCCTCTGTTGTTTTCTCCTGCCAGTTTGTGGCCCAGTCCAACTGTCAGCAGTTCCTCAACACCGTCTGGTTTGGAGAAATGGCCAGCTACCGGCGCAAACACACCTGCCTGAAGATGGGCACGGTTTCCAGCGTGGCGCTGCTCTGGCCGCTGCTCTCCGTCTGCTACCTTCTGGTGCCGCGCTCTCGAGTCGGCCAGATCATCCACACACCGTTCGTCAAGTTCATCATCCACAGCGCCTCCTACATGACCTTCCTGCTGCTGCTCAACCTTTACTGTTTGGTGTACAACGAGCAAAAAAAAAACCTGATGGGCCCGGCGCTGGAGATGATCGACTACCTCCTGATCCTCTGGATCCTAGGTCAGCCTCTTATGCCATAAGGATCTGATTTCTATTGCTGAATACTTGTTGCTCTTTTAGAAGTATAAACAGGAGAAGAATCCAGCCCTACAGACCATAACATAATTGAAAGTCCTGCACGGTGCAGCAAAAATGAGAGATTCCTGTTAAGGTCTGCCCAAAGTCCATTATCTGTAATTCTATCTGGAGTCTGAGAAAAATGGCTGTTTTTATATTATGTGGGAAAAAACTCTTACTTGACTGAATTTCATCTGTCTTCTTTCTCCTCTGGGGCCCGTCTAATTGCTGGTATTGCATGATTATCAACAGCAGCTCTTTTCTTATGGCGATGACGTAGCCGTTAGAAATGGGCCGCCTCTCTCTGGAGAGACACCTCCCTACCTTCCCCGTCTGCCAAGAAACCATTATCATCCACTTTAGGCCTGTTAATGGCTCTGGCTGCTTGCTGGGATGTTTGGGAGTGGTTGTAAAAAGCAACCACTTCTTTGTTTCACCGTCCTGATGATAATCCATCACATCAAAACAGCCTGACAGTTAATACCAGCATGTAGGAGCTATTAACTTGTGTTATTAAATGCTGTGATAAGAGGCTTAGTGCTGTTCAGTTAATTCCAGAAAGGTGGAAAGAGGTCATTGTGACATGCTGGAACTTAAAAATTCCCTAGAAAAGTTGTTTTTATTATTTGTTTTTCCCAAAAGATGTGACGTTTGCTTTCCTGCTGCTTCAACAAACCATCCAGGTGGAGTTTAAAGGGAAAAGCGTTGTAATAACTCCAGCATCCTCGTGCAATCAGGATCCACCCCGTGTGGGTCGGATGTGCACTGCCAACAATCACTAGTCGAAGCAGCTTTTTATTTTTTATTTTGTTCACTATTGTTCTCTTGTTCTGTTCCTTTCCTCTCATCTTTCACTTCACTAACTAAGTAAGATGCCTCGCATTAATGGGGAAATCAGACGCTGAGAGACTGTGTGTGTGCGTGGGTGCGTGTGTGCGTGCGTGGGTGCGTGCGTGCGTGCGTGCGTGCGTGTGTGTGTGTGTGTGTGTGTGTGTGTGTGTGTGTGTGTGATTTGATATCTGTGTCATATCACAAACATGAGTGGGTTGAGGAGCAGTTGATGACTTTTCTCTTCCAGAGGTTGTATCTTCTTTGTGGATTTCCCGCTAAAACCACAGAAATGATGAATTTCTGAATCAGAGCTTCCACATATTTTCCTCATCTTCACATGGATTCTGTTTCTACACTAAAAGACGCTTTCACTCATCGTTATTAAATTCCACACACCTCCCTAATCTCACTGGTGACACATTTTTACCACCGATTTCCCAAGGGCTCCTCTCTGAGAGGATGACTTATGGTTGAGTCTGGAAAGGATTTTTAAAATATTCCAGATGACATCAGAACTGATTCTTCCAGTCGTGAGTGTGGGTGGTGATGAGTTTCTGCCACCCTGTAGGAATGGTGTGGTCCGACGTGAAGCGTCTGTGGTACGAAGGGCTGGAGGACTTCCTGGAAGAGTCGAGGAACCAGCTGAGCTTTGTGATGAACTCGCTTTACCTGGCCACCTTCGCTCTCAAAATAGTCGCTCACAGCAAGGTACTCACACTCTCACAAGACAGATCGATGCATTTACTCTTTCTTCACTGCTTGATTGAGGAGTAAAAGGATCCGTTTCAACAAACCTACGTCCCAAACAATTCTGATCTGAGAAAGCTCCTTAGATGAAGTGAAGAATCCCATCAGATCTAAGGATTTTTGAATGACTGCAGCTGTACGCCAACATGCATGTGGTTGTTCTGCAGAGCTATGACGCTGCCCCTAAGTGGCAGCAGACAGCAACAACACAGTGTCTGAGAAGCACCGTGGTGCATTGTGGGAGTCACCGGAGTGACAGCTGAGCAAATAAAAAAGTCTAATCAGGCTGCAGACGTGCACACAAGGATGTTATGATTTAAACATTCATAACTGGATTTAAAATAATTAGGTCTGATTATATTCTACAGTTCATGTCCATTACTTTTTGCTCTTGCTTTATTTTTTATGTTAGCGATCTTAAGAATTGATTCGGGTAGAACCCCTATAGGTTTGTTCAGTTACAATCTCACAACGTGTGATAGAAAATGCTAACAAATCCTGCTCTACATAGAAATAACACAAAAGTCACACACACAAAAAACAGTCAAATATATCAGTTTATACCAAAAAAAGGTAGTTTTTATCCTTTGCAGGTGGAAAGTTTGAGTTTTTTGTAGTTTGGATGTACTTCAAAAATTTCTGTGAAATATAAAAGCAATGATAATATCCTCAAAGCCACTCAGCTTTACGGTGAATGTGTTTTTACTTCATTTGCAGTTCTGTGAGAAGGTACTAGAGAGGAAGAACTGGGACGCCTTCCATCCCATCCTGGTGGCTGAAGGACTCTTTGCTTTTGCTAATGTTCTGAGTTACCTGCGACTGTTCTTCATGTACACCACCAGCTCCATTCTGGGGCCGCTACAGGTGAGAAAGAAACATCCAGTGGGCTTCAAACGAGGTCTCGTACTTATGTAACGCTTATGAAACTAGCTTTTTACTTTAGTTGGTCACACAAACACACTGAAGCCTCCCACTCTCTCCTGCTGTCTGTGAATGGGAAGATTTCAGGGCAAGCCCACTGAACATGACGCCAGATGATAACATTAGAAGCGCACACACACACACACACACACACACACAGCCTAAAACTGGAGATGATGGTGAGTCCACGGCTGGACTTCTGTCCAGATCTGGCAGCCTGCAGGGACTTTGGCCAGTCTAGCAGTCAGTGTGCACAAAGGAAACTGTCAATAAAAATAGTGAGCTGCATCAAGAACCCTCTCAACTCTGGAAACTTTTATATCATTGAAATTATGTCATTCTGACATTTTTTCAAAGCTAAATAGCTTCATTTCAGGCTTTTTAGCTACAAACACCCTCAACACAACCTGCAAGCTTGCATACAATTAGCTTTTTTTTAGCTAGCCCTTACAGGAATGTCATCTAAATGTAGATCGGCTTCTTTGTAGATCAATAAAATAATTTAGCAGTATACAATTTCTCTGTTATTTAATGAGTTTATTATAAAAAAAAGTCAGAAATCTGGTATGTGTTATTTTCATTTGGGCTTGTTCACAATTTGTTCGCCCTAAGTGTTTATTTTTTTAATTAAATCACAATTCCATGCACAACCAGACAGCTGCATTAGCAATTTATAAAATCAGTCATCATCTACGTTTCTGCTGGCAGGCTGGAGGTTTCTATCCCCACACGGGTGTCCTGTGTTACGTAACGCAGCCTTACTGTTTGTAGGGATGCTTTCCTGTCATTAACTCGGGGCCTGCCTGTGGTTGGCTTATAAAACACAAAGTCTGCACAGTAGATGGTTAATGAGCATGCTGCAGCTTAAATCTCTGTTCTCCCTGTCTTCTGAGCTCCGCTAGCGCCGTCACATCGCCGCCCGCCTCGGCGGGATGGAAAAATAGTTAGAAATGGATGTTTTCTCATTTGCACTCATATGGCAGACACACCTCTCCACCGGAGCACATGCGCCCACACATTTCAGCACAGCCGTGATATCTGACCAGGCCAGGATTCCACCCAGCTGCTCTCAGACACAGACACACACACACACACACATAGACGGTGACTCACGACTATGGGGGCTGTAGAAAGTTTCTCCGAATCTACTTCTCCTGAAGATTCCTGATCATAAATCTGCAGGGTAGCAACTCCTGCTGAGTTTGGAAAGAGTGTGTCTCACTCCTGACCCAGACTAACCCTCACTGCCGTCATCCATCCATCCATGACCACACAATGGGATGTTGCATCATTTTATAATTCCTTTTAAATAATTTTCCCAATTTTCCCACTAAAACATCCTGTTCTCAGCCTTGTTTATCTGCATGTTGGTGTACTTAAGCTGCACATGAGACCGCCCTCTGTCTGTGCTGTTGCTAAGCTGGGCTTTTGATCAGGTTCACAAGCAGGGGCGCGACCTCGACCTCCTAAATCACACGCGTGTATAGTGGTGGAAGAATACACAGGAGGAGTTTACACATGACAAGAGGATGAATCACCCTCCTGCTCCAACAAGCAGCCGGGGTTTCAACTCAAACACGCTGGTGGTCATTATACCTGAGGTGGTCGCACTGGACACACTGTACGCTTGTCTGAGCATCATTCCAAACGGAGAAACACCTCAGGTTTATAAATAGTGGCTTTTCAGTAGTCTGGGAGCCATCTTTTAGGCTTCCTTCATGTTTCTCCATTTTCAGTGGCGTGAGAGCAATCCAGCTGCCACGTTTGATCACTTTTCTGCTTCCTTGTGTGTTTCTAAGCCAAAGTTAAACACAAAATAAGCTACAAATGGTCAAAAAAAGTGACAAAATAAACTATTTTGGCAGCCAGGGAGCAAATTATCTGGGATAGAAATGTCAGTGTGCTCCAAAAAGATAAGTAAGTTTAAAATATTGAGTTTATGAACTCATAACGCTTTAGGAAGTATTAATGCAAATAATGATTGTTCTAGGAAAATAATCAGAAATTACCTGTAATATTAAGGTAGTTTAAATATGTGTTAAAGTTAGTAAAAAATGGGGTTAGAAACTGGAATGTTTGCACAACAACAGAGCCAGCAGCATTACTGGTTTTACAGCTATAAATCTATAATTATTGACATGAAAGCATTTGGACTAAATGGCTAACATGCATAATGATCTTTGATTTGATTGATTGATTAGTCACACTAGAGCAGCAGGCATGTCCAAAGTGTGGCCCAGGGGCCATTTGCAGCCCTCAGAGTTGGTGTACATCAACACTTTTTTACATTTTTAGGTTCTGATTTATACTGACATGTCTATTTAAGACTTTTTGAGCAGTACAAATAATTATAATGATTTTTATCATTTGAGATTCTTGCAGCTCGGTTTTTACTTGATCGTGCACACTAGCCTAACAGACGAATCTCCACGTCCCACAGATCTCCATGGGTCAGATGCTGCAGGAGTTTGGGAAATTCCTGGGCCTCTTCCTGCTGGTGCTGTTCTCCTTCACTATCGGGCTCACCCAGCTCTACGGGAAAGACCTCAAAGACCCGAACACAAACACAACAAACAAGGACTGCGAGGGCATCTTCTGTCAGCAGCAGAGCAACGATGCGTTCCACACGTATGACCCCACCTGTTCTTTTACATGTGATCTGAGTAAAGAAGGTTTATTGTGCCTTCTGAGGAACCTAAACACGGATTAATGGTGTCAAAGTCTCTCTAAACTGAGAAAATGATGCAGTTTCTTCCCCATTCCAGGTTTATGGGGACCTGCTACGCTCTATTCTGGTACATCTTCTCCTTGGCTCACGTTGCGCTCTTCGTCACCCGGATCAGCTACACAGAGGAGCTGCGCTCCTTTGTCGGAGCCTTGATCATCGGCACATACAACATTGTGGTGGTTATTGTGCTGACCAAGCTGCTGGTGGCCATGCTGCATAAAAGCTTCAGACAAATCGCTGTAAGTTCACACCGCTTATGGCTTAGCGGTGCGTGTCACTTGTTGCTTTGGGTTATTTGAGTTTACCTTGGAGCTGAAATGTCTCACAGATGTTTAAATAGTTTCTTTGGAACCACACCGGTGGTTGTCTGCCTGCACTGAACAATCGTGTGGTTTTCATTCGATTAAAGTTGTGCATTTGTACTTTAAGCAGCAATCTAGAGTTTTCCCCTTTTCAGGAAATATGGATGATCTTTTAGATGAGAGGCGTTGCTTCCAGCTGTAATCACGGAAGTAAGGAGAGAAGCTTAAGGTGCAATACATGTTTCTGCCTCTAGATGGTGCCCTCTGAGAAAACCTCCAGATTTCTGCTTTAAGGTTTGTTTCCACACAGCCTTGAGTTGGTTTTAGTGAATTCTCATAGTTTGTTTTTTCAGAACCACGAGGATAAAGAGTGGAAGTTTGCCCGAGCCAAACTGTGGCTCAGCTACTTCGACGACAAATGTACTCTGCCTCCACCTTTTAACATCCTCCCTTCGCCCAAAACCATCTGTTACCTGGTGACCAGTTTGAGGAAGTGGATCTGTTCACACACATCTAAAGGCAAAGTGAAGAGGCAAAACAGCCTCAAGGTAAAAAGGCACTCAAAATAACTGATCAATGTTTTATTTTAAGTAAATGACCACCCTCCCATGAGTCTGAACCATTTTCATGCAGGAGTGGAGGAACCTGAAGCAGAAGCGTGACGAGAACTACCAGAAGATCATGTGCTGCCTGGTTCACCGTTACCTGACCTCCACGAGGCAGAAGATGCAGAGCATGGACCAGGCCACCGTGGAGAATCTCAACGACCTGCGCCAAGACCTGTCCAAGTTTCGCAACGAGATGAGGGACCTACTGGGCTTCCGTACATCCAAATACGCCATGTTCTACCCGAGGAGCTAAGAAAAAAAACTCTGCTTCTTGTTTGTCTGGGATGCTGTTCAGCACGAAGCATGTGCAAAAAATAATAATCATAATCCTCAAAGACAGACCTTCCCAAGCCCCCAGACTCAGGCCTGCTCTCTGTTATTCAGCTATTTAACCCTGTTTTTGTAAATATAAAAAGCCGTTCTTTTCAACAGGATAAAGAATAAAACGTTTATGGCAAATTTAGGCTTTTGGGGGGAATTTAAGTTAATAAAAACTGAGAATTTTTCCTCTGAGATTAATAAAGTATCTTTGAATTGAATTTGTGCAGGAGATGTTAGTTTAAAAGGTTTTCAGCCACAGCAGGTCTGAAAGGCAGGAAACGGCCCTGTCTTTGGTGTTCGAGTCCATGTTCGAGTCACGTCTCACACCTAACCCTAGTCCTCACAGAGCAAACGGACCCAATACTATTAAACCGTTTTCTGTTTCTATGGGGAGAAAATGGACAAAGAAACAAACAAACTGGGAGTGTTGGAGGAGTTTTATTAGAACTGGTGAAAACAATCAAATATAAATAATATATAGATTTTGTTCATATGAAAATAGTCTTTTTGTTACTTTAAATCGGTAATTTAAGGACATTAATGCTTGTGGTGCATTGCATCTATAGGAAAGTGAAAAACAAATGGAAACCCACTCCATGAAAAACAGGAACACTAAATATTGCACTTTATCATGTTTAAAACTTCCAACCCTGCCCATTGAAACAATGCAAAAGCTGCTTGTTACACAAGTCCCATAAATCATGTCTGTGTATCAGGCAAGATTGTCAAACCTGATGACTTTATTCACATTTATTCTGCAGCTTTAATGGTAAAAAAAAAAAAAAAGGCTGAGTGCAGAATGGTTTCAAGATAAAAGTGCCACTATGGGATGTCGGAACAGATGTCCAGGGTAACGTTTCTCTAAATAGCTCTGTTTTAAATCCCTGCAGTTGGGAATGTGACTGGACTGGGAACCATTTGGGAACAGAAAAGGACATTTTCACATATTTTCTGCACATTAATCTCCGTCTGCAGAAGACACCGACAGTTCCACATCCGCCGCAAAAGTACCTGACTGAGTTGATGAATAGAGCAACGTTTTAGCTCTGTAATCATATATTTATTTAATTCATGGTCCGTGTTTTGATTCGTTTCCATCCACAGCCGAGTCTCCAGCAGGAACTGTTCAAAGGAGATCCTGGGTTCTACCGGAGATTAGCACTGCTTGTTTTTCAGAACGCTGAGTCCTTTCTGGTTCTTCGTCTTGAAGGCCATGACGAAGTGGTGAGGGGCGATTTTCCCCCGGCCCTCCTCGTCCACCTGGCCCATGAAGATGTAGTTCAAGCCTGGTAAGGTCACACAGAAAAAACCTGAATGCAGCGGCAGAACGGCAGAGACATTCAGGGAGGCCGAATATGAGAGTCTGCACATAGCGGCAGGTGTGTATGGATGGTCCGGTTGACTATTTGTACAGTGAGTTCTGCCGCTCACCCAACACCGGCCTCGGGTCGTTCAGCTGAGCACAGCAGAGGAGGCAAACTCAGAGTCTGTTGTTATTCAAATCAGTCAACCAGCTGTTGAATGCATCAGCGTCTACACAATGAGCTGTTGCTGTTTTTTTATACGTTCACTCACCTCTTCTGATAAATGGACACTTTTTACAGAGGATGACGATCTTGGTGCTCATAGTTTTCCCCGCCTGCTGGATCACTAGGCTGCCTTCTTTATAAACGTTGATGATGGAGACGGTTGCATACATGCTTCCTCCTCTCATCACTGCAGTAATGACTGTCCCAGTAATCACTGCCACACACACAAAAACAGGGTGAAAAAACTCCATAAAACATACAAAACTCTCATTTTATAGCCTAAATTTCAACTAATCGTAGCAAATTTACTGGTGTTGTCTTTAAAAAGGAAAAAAATCCATGGATGTTCACACAAAATGAGCCTGATTAGGAGTTATAGCAAATTAGCAGGAAACCATTCAAGCTGTTAGTTTTTAAACGTAACCTGATGACCTCGTGGGTCCGGTCTGTGGCCACTGAGCCTCTGAACAAGTAACAGCTGATGCTTCTGAGACTGCTGTGGCCCCCAGACTCTGGAACACTCTCGCCGAGCATGAGATCAGTGGACTCAGTGATCTCCTTTAAAAAGCAGCTGAAAAGTCTCCTGTTCAAGCTGGCTTTTGTGTCACCACCCTTTCCTTGTTCTGTTCTTGGTGTGCCTTTCCCTGGATCCACTGACTTCCCTCTTTCCTATTAATTTTCTCTCTCCCTTTCCTTACATTTTCTTTTGTAATTCACAATTAAAACATTTTTCTCGTTTTAAACATATTTTTTATCTTTTATCTGTTTTTTTTTTTTTTTGGAAAGCGCTTCGGGATTTTTATTTTGAGAGATATAAAAGATGGTTTTCTTTCTTTCTAAAAGCATACATTTAAAGCTTAAGCAGTCAGCCAGAATTCTCACTGCAACAATGTGATCCCGTATTTTAAGCACCAGGGTCAACCCCTTTTTCAGGAGTTCAAAAACCATCCAACAGCTGATTTCAGAGGTGTTTTAAGGCCTGTTTCTTTGTAATTTAATAGCTGTTTCTTTGAAATCCCATCCTAGTTGAAGATCTGTTGGTGCCCTCATGAACCTTCGCTGGTGAATGATGGTAGGATAACTTCCACGGATCAAACGGGCTTCAGAACATGCAGCAAAGCTCATCAGCCTTTCATAAAAACAGACTTTAAAAGGGGTGAATGCAGGTTATCTGTGAAACTTACGCATCAGAACCAGAAAAGCAAGATTAGATTCTCCCTGATTTACTCCCGTGTTCAACCCTATGAACATCACTTTCATGTTTGATTTCATCTAAACTTTTAAATACTCTTAAATTCCTCAAACATTTCGGTCTGAGTTAATTAGTATTAATAATAATAAATTAATTAATCAACTCCAAGTTTCATTTGATGTTTCTAGATGTCCGCTTTGTGTCTTTTTACAGTAACAAACTTATTTTATGACTTTGTTTCTGGTGTGAACATCTCGTTAGTGATTAGCTGAAAACGTGCCATTTCTCATGAGTCATCAGTCAGATCTACACCTTTATTTGAATGGATGAGGAAAGGCAAACATTTATTTTTCTTTTTTAAATTCGTTTTTGTTCCTTATTTTGTATTTTTATGCATTTTTTGTGTTTTTTAAATTTACGTTTTGCATATTTTTATATGTTTTAATGAAAGGTAACAATGCAGGATGTATACCCAGAAAATTGCCTTTTTACCCATCAGATTTCACTTGTCCTTACATTTTATCTGAAATCGTTAACAGGACTTCGTCATCACAAACACGTTCTCACAACATAGACACTCTGACTCTGAGCAAGGTTCCTCTGGGACGAGGTGACACTGCCTAACCACAACAATCACAATAACACTTTAGTTTAGTTGTAACCCAAGCTAAAAGGACTTTTATGGTGGCCTGTTTACATTTTTTCCTAGAATCAAATTGGGAATTGAAACACGAAAATCCCCTGAAAACAGTTAACAGTAAGATCGAATAACAGAATTTAAATTTATAAATATAGACAAAATGTGGCTAAAATTATTTTCAAATATCCTAATTCAATAGTTGTTGGATCACAACATACTTTAGTCAAGACCGTTTTGTGGGTACTAGATGTCATCTTATCTAAGTGCAGCTTTTCTTTAAAAAATATAAATTAACAACATAGTTTCTCAACATTTCCTCAAGGCCATGGGTGCTCCCCATCTATGGCCTGTAGAGCTTTAAACTCTTAACAATAATCCAGCCTCAGCTGTATCACTTACAGCACAACGGTCCACCAGTGAAAAAGTTCTCTGAAACCCCCAAAAGGGACAGCTTCACTGTTTTATAAAGAACAGATTTTGCACCCCTTCTATTTTTTGTCTCCACATGTAGGGTGAAGTTATTTCCTGTTTATTCTGACCGGGTCCCTTAAAAGTACAAAGACACACGTCTCTTGTTCTGACCCATGGAAATGTTGTCACGGGTAAAGTGAGCCGAAGCGGTAGATTAAGTATGAAACAGGACTCTCCAAACGGATGGTCCCAATATGTCTGGGCTTAATGTAATGTTTCATTTCCTGACGGATGAGAAAGCCAGAGGAAAGTTACTTTAGATGCATCTTTTGCTACTGTTACGCAAATCTGCTTTAGAAAAGTAAGCTTAAAGCAGAAATCCAGAGTTTTTTTTAGAGGGCACCATCTAGAGGCAGAAAAATGTACTGCACCTAAAGTCCCTCTTCCTTCTTGCGTGGTTACGGATGGAAGCTAGCCTCTTGTTTGTGAACGTTCACATGTAGCTGAGCAACAGAGCTAAAACACGTTGTTTTGGTGCTGGTGGTGGTCGGAGGGACCGGTGGCGCCTGTGCTCGGCAGCCTCGCCTCTGTCAGTACGCCCCAGGGCAGCTGTGGCTACATCGTAGCTCATCCCCATCCGTGTGTGAATGTGTGTGTGAATGAATGAATGATACACTGTAGTGTAAAGCGCTTTGGAGTCCTTACTCTGAGAGGCGCTATACAAGTGCGGATCATTTCTCATTTGTCATTTTAGTCACGTTAGGATGCTTTAATATATAGATAGCGTGACTTATTTGTCCCTGAGAACTCTGTATCGGGGGGGTGGGGGTGGGGACCCACCAAGTAGTTCCTGAGCGCCAGTGGCGTGTCCAGATCTTGTAAAATGGGGTGGCTCAGGTGAGGCACTACTTTGTGCATGGGTGGCACCAATGGTTATACTTTTTTTTTTTTTGTTTGTTTTTGTTTTGTTTTACCCCAAGCGTTTGTGGACAATGAAAAGTAAAAGGGAATTCAGTGTGGTGGCCCCTGGGGTGGCCAGTCAGATTCCAAGGGTGGCATTTGTACCCCTGGCCACTCCCTGGACACGCCCCTGCCGAGCGCAGCCACAGCTGCGGCTCACCACGGGGGGAGGGTCAAATGCGAAGAGGAATTTCACAAGTGTGTGATGACTAATGGAACTTTAACTATGGAAATTAATGTGTTCCAGAAGCGGCCTGTAACAAAAATAGAACCCAATCCTATCTTTATCCCGCTAACCCCGCCCACAGAACCAATTGAGCGTCGTGACTGGCAAGAAACAAAACTGCTCAGGCCAATGGTAGACCTGCTGAGGTGACAGTGGAGCATGGTTAGACCCACCCGCAGAGCTAAATCCTTTGGCTTCTGCTACAGTCTGTCTACATTTCTAAGCTAACGTAATTCCTGAAAGAGGGAAAACTCTGGATTGCTGCTTTAATTGGATTAATCGATCCCAGCAGTCAGGCTGGACCACAGTATCACCACTTCTGTCATTTTATGAGCTGATCCCCCCTGCTGAGCTTTTCCTACATCATTTGCTCATCAGTTGCTGGTGCAACTCCAAAAGAACTAGTCCAAAGACCTGTCTGACACATACGGTAAACATCTCAGAGAAGAGAAATCGTGGAGCAAACAGAGTCTGAATCATTGCATTTATTTACCGCTGGTTGAGCGTGTGCTCATACTGGAGTAACTGTACTCTACTGTACACAGTCCTTCAGTTCCTAACCGGCGATCAAGTAAGTCTTTCAGCTACACGACGGAAAAATTAAAAGGAGCAAAGAGGGTGGCCTGATCAGGACAGTAAACAGCTACTTAGAGAGAGTTCTGGCTGTCAAGAGCCCCTCTGATACACATCTGTGGTTTCATTTAGGGAACAAAACAAAGGCTGGTATATATCGATGACTATGATTTACGAGGCTTTTATAACTTGCAAAAGGCACCAATGGTCTTACCAAAGTTGCTGGAGCAGTAATTGCTCTCAAGTGTCCCTCGTCTTTTACATTTCTGCTGACACAGGGCAACGGAGTACTTCAGAGCTGTGGAGACACACACAACACACAAGAATGTTTTCCCTCTGTAATTTTCCCAGCCAGCAATGCAGTCGTGTAAGTTCTGGTTGCATTTGCAGCTTCATTACTAGATACCCTCAGAAACAATAGTCCTGCTCCAAATGAATAGCTGTGAGGTTTAAAGACAAAAAAGTGAGATAATGAGACAAGACAGCATCTGTTTTTAAGCTACAGATGGTCCGTAAAAGACAGAATTGTGGCTTTCAGGAAATACAAAATGACTGAGTAAATATTTTTGTTACTGGAGAGGGGAAAGCCAGAGAAGACCACCAGAATTGCAGGATGACATCATGGCAACCTGGCCTGACTAAGGGAAAAAGCAATAGAGTGTGGAAATGTGAGTGTTTGAGTATGAAAATGAGCTGTGATTGCCGGCGCAGACGCACACACCCATGGTGTGTGATAACTGTACAGTTTAATCTGTGGTCAAACACAATTTTTAGCTTTAGTTGTGTTTGAACACAAGCTGGGATTTTTCCCTAATGGGACTTTCAGCCTCCGGGATGTTGTGTTCTCTGACTTAGAGCACAGAAAAACTTAACTAGAACCAAGTTACCTACTTATCGACCTGGAAGTGACAGGCTGTGAGGTGGTGGTGGTAGGCGGTACAGTGGTGGGCGGGTTTTTCTTCGGTCTAAACTTGTAGTGTCCAATGAAACCATCGGCAGTCAGACTGAGATCTGAGAGGAACTGGATCAGGAGCTGATTCCCATCTGAGACCACCGGCCTACCAAGTAGCCCGGAGAAGCAGATCCATCATGAACTGAGATTAATGGCATGATGGGTACTTGACTTTACCAAAGTACTTTCTGAAAGACAGAAATCACCTACGCTGGGGGGCTGTCTCCGCAAAATTTGCCAATCCTCTTGGCGTCATTTATTTCTGCCCCGTTGAAAATGGAGACGTGGTCATAGCGGCAGTAGTTGTCCCGCTCCACGTCGAACTTTTCAAACTTCACTTCAATAATCTGCAGAACAAAAAAAAATTTCTCTCGCACAAAAGCACGTAGTTGATATAACTCCAAACATCAATGAGCTATGGTCATTGTCGTGAAGTTTAATTAAAACATGCATGTGTGGAAATATGTGTTTAGTCAGTGTCAACTGATTTTTGTGACTTGCAGTTATTCAAGTAGAAGTAGATCTGAACGCCAAATGACTGACTTGGTTTTTAGGCGCCACTATGTGCCAGGAGCAGGTGACACCAGCTGGGTAGTCCTTTTCGGGCCAGTTTGGGGTTTTGAAAGTCCCAGAAGGCTTGTCCAGTCTGCCACCACAGTACTGGTCACCTGTGGAGAATTAAACATCACTGTTAGTTTGTTTATTGTGATCATGATCACCCTCAAATGACAAAACAATTCAATAGTTTGCATGATGAATCTTTTCCAGGATGACTAAAGATGGAGTCATATTTAGCTCGGTGCTCCTCAGATAAGTATGAGCCAAGCAAAGAGGTTTTTAGATGGAGTCTGCTGCAGCTGTGGGCTTGCTGGGTACAAGAAAGCATCTATTAGAATTCCACACTAAAAAAACAGTCAGACAGCAGACAGGAAAAGGCTCATTTACCTCTGAGTAAACCCTCTGATCTTGGCTTTCAAAGGAAATTTCCCTCCCTAAAAGAAGAAAATCCACATCCTGCAATGACTAGCTGAGATTAAGCTATCAGTCCAATGAAATCTGTATTAGATAAGTGAAACACAAGATGGATGGCTCTAACTACAAGGTTAGAGGTGAGATATGATACAAGCTTTGCAACCTTGGCATGTTTAGACAGAAAGCATGCCACCCCCAGCTTCCTGCCTACCTCTCTCATGAGGGTGGGCAGCAGAGAAAACAGCAAGGAAACCACTGCCAGCGGTGTTGGCATCGGACACCATCTGCAGGAGCATCCTGTTGCCCGTGGAAACCAGAGCTCCTGGTTTGAACGTCCCACAGAAGCGACCGAGTCTCTGCCCACTGACGTGACCGCTGTACACATCCACGTAGTCATAGCGACAAAGGTTGTCACTCTCCAGGTCAATAAAGCGGAACGACAGGGCCACCACCTTCCCATCAGGAACCTGGTGGAGAAATAAAGATTGACTAGATGTTTTCATAAGGAACTAAACTGACACCAAATGTGAACAGGTATATACATATTATATTATGTATATTATATATTATATACACATTTGCACCCTTTGGGGTTTTAAAAGGTGAAAACTTGACTCACTGTGATCCTCCACACACATTTGGTGTTTGGAGGATAAACTCCTGGGTAACCTTGGCTTCCGATGACTCCAGACTCCCCTGTGATGTTTCCTCCACAAGTAAAAGTTGGTCTGAAGAAGAATATTTTGATGGTGAAATGTTAAAACAACATAAAAAAGAAAAAGAAACTCGTGATAATCGGCACTAAAATAACTCTCAAATGTACAACATGTCCTGGGGCATCGTCTGTTCCCTTCTCCACAGCCTTCCCTACTTTTCTAATAAATCTGACACAAAGCTGTTAAAGAGATGTACCTCAGCTGAGACTGCGCACAGACTTCTGTCAGGAACAGCAGAGTCCATGCACAAAAAAGGCTGTATGTTCTCCACATAGCTGGGGAAACGCAGCTTCTCCTGTTTTCGCTCCGTGGCATGTGTGGCATTACTTCGCTCAGCAGCAGGGACGGTGAGGGGGAAGTGGCCAGGAGCTGCTGCTGCCGCTGCTGCAGGGAGAGTGAGCAACTGCAAGCTCAAGCACATGAATGTAGCGTTTGTTCTGCAGAAGGAGGGACGGAGCAAGGGGGTGGGCGGGTGTAGGGTCCCGCATAAGCTCCATACTTCACCTGGCCTGGAAAACCATGAAGGAGCTGGCATGATTAAACTTGACTGGAATTATTTATGCATGGTCTGACATTCCAATAATTTAGGGCATGTACACCTTACAGGCTAGATTTAAGATTAGGATTAGATTAAGATTTGACAGACTTCATATGTCCAAGTTCCTTCCTTAAATGCACCACTACAATTCAAATAGGCTCTATGTAAGATTTTAAATAAAAGTCAGTCGTATAATGAATAAATCTGCCTCAGGAAAATTTAGAGTACCACCTGCTGAAGCCGACATGTACCTGGGATGCTGCTTTCTACACAGCAGCTCATCCTAAAACTCTAAATTCTCTAGTTTTTACAAAGCCTGGAAAATGTTTGCTTCAGTCTAACAACAGATTAAAATAAGATAAAATAGTAAGACAGTTATTTAGTTATGGTGTTCTACAACTGATTCAGTGCCGGTGCTGCTGAACACAACTAATAACAGGTGTTGTGCTATTAAGTGAAGGTCTGCCAAAAAGGCGCCGCGAGAGACCGCGCAGTGTGTACACTTTTTGTTGTTCCTTCTAAAAGTGGAGTTTTCATGTTTTTCATGTTTGCCACCGCAACAAAAAACCTGTTTCTCCTCCTGTTTGCTGACAAAGTATGCAGTATAAAAAAAGAAAATGAAAAAATGACTAATAATAAAACTTTAAGTTAAAACTTTAGTGCTTCCTTTGACTGGGAACACTTTTTAACGGTAACATTCCACAACGTCACACCCATGGACGTAATTTTGGGGGGGGGGGGGAATATGTCCCCCCCACTTTTTCCAAAGGCAAGTTTTGACCCCTGCACTTTTTACCATTCAATAGCAATATTACTCTATATTAAATTGACACTGGTTGAGCTCTAGGACCAAGCAGAAAACAACCGTTTGTGTTGAAGCCTGTTTCCCATTAGAACATACTGTAAAGATACCCCCCTCCCCCCCCCCCTCCCCCCCCACACACACACACACACACTTCTAAAGTGAAAATTACGTCCATGGTCACACCAGCAACATTTCAAACAGATGCCTTGACTTGAAAACTGACATTTAAAACATTTTATTTTTGTTATTTTTATTATTATTGATGGTTGCAATATTCAAACACCACTTTAGTTTCTATAATGGCTGCCAACTGTTGCTTAATACACATGAGACACTTGACTGTCTGCACACGATCTCACGCCACCCCCCCAATTTCTCATGCTGAAAAAAGTTATTCCATGTGAACTCTATGGAAGACCAGGTGAGACACAAACACACAACATTATGTGCATTTCTCATGAAAAGTAAAAGTTGTTAACGAGCAATCAATGCGCAAACCCTTTACTATTGACGTGAATTTAACCTGCAAAAAACACAAAAATGACACGTAAACAACGTGTTAACAACACTCAAAAATGTGTACTTTTCGTGTGTGACACACGTAATGCAGTGCGTTTGTGTCACACCTTGTGTTCCATCGAGCTACACATTGGATGGTGCTACGAGCCAGAAGGGCGAATTGACAACCTCTAGTGGCGAAAAGCTAGAACTAAACACTAGTCCTTGAGGGCTACCATTCTGCAAGTTTTTTGTTTTTCCAGACCTACCACGCCTGAATGGAGTAATTTAATTGTTTCCTTAACTCTGCACAGGTCTGTTAATTACTCATTCATTCCAATCAGGTGTGTAGGAGCATCAAAACAGCTAACATGTGCAGGATGGTAGCCCTCAAGGACCAGAGTTGGTGACCCGAGATTTAGAAAATATTTTACCCTCCTTTTTTCAGTAAAGCTGGAAAAAATCTCCTCTTGTTAATATTAATATTAAGGAGAAGAATTTGAGGAGGAGAAGAAGAAGAGTTACAATAGTTAGTAGAAACACTTCCTGTAATCCCTTTCAAAATAAAAAGCTACAGCGTTTTGGCACGAGCAACAGGGTCTCGCTGTAACTGTGTTTCACTCTTTTCATTTAGCTAAAAACACTAATTTCTGTTAAGCATGAAGGTTGTGTGCAGCGGCAGACAGGCCCTCAGGAGCACTGGGTCACAAAAGTTTCCTTTAGGTCAACCACACAGAGACAGGGAGTGAGAGCTCAATCTCTTGATGTATGGCTTTCTAGGATTTATTTCGCCCCTGGCGGACAAAAGCTGTTACTACATGCAGCGTTCATTAGGCTAAACAAGACATTACTCCCTAGTCCCTAGCACTTCCTTTAGATTATTTCTAAATCAAAAATATCACTAAAAAATTACTATGGGTTTTAAATTAGTGTTATTAGCATAGCTAGTCAAAATAATGAGAAAGCCATTATGTCTTAATTTATACAAACTATTTAACCATCTATGACTTGCCTTGCCTAAATTATCAACTGCATCTAAAAAACACACACAGTGAGACATAGATATATTTTTTTTTACAAATAAAAGTACATGTTGTTTTAAACAGGAAAAACATTAATGTAGGCCAACAGAAGTGTGGACGTATGTTACCCACCATTTAATATTAGCAAATTAAATTTTTCTGTAAGAATTGGCCACCTGTGCTGTAATCTTACTAATTTAAAAAATATAATGTGACATAACTGTTCTCCAATGAAAATAAATGTGAAATTTAAACACATGGAAATAAATATTTTTTTCCACATTTTATCAATTTATCTTATATATTTTGGGTATGTAATTGAATGCCTCACTTTTTTTTTCTCTGCCAGCTTGTGTAATTTTTAGCCAAAACCACACACGCACGCGCGCGCGCACACACACACACACACACACACACGACAAAATCAAAATAAAGAAAATCTCATTCAAAGACTTCTATGAAAGTTGACAGCCGCTATCCGCGAACAAACAGAAAGTTTAGTCAACCAATCAAAGAGTCGGTGATTGACTGCGTGGCCTGTAGTTTAGACGCTGCCATCATTGTATCGGTGATCGACTTTTTTCTAGTTTTCCAGAAAGATGGCGGACCGGACGCCAGGCTCTCAAAAAGCTAGCGCAAAGGTGAACATTAACGTGTATTATTGTTTTCGTTATGTTGTTTCTTTGTTATTGAAAACGATGTTAATTACTGTATTCGTTAAAAATCTTGAATGCTAACATTTCAAACTCACACTAGAGCAGCGCTGTGGCTGTGACCAACGACGTTAGCAAAGTGCCGCCGCGGTAAATGTAGCGTGGCTAAGCTAACAAATTAGCTTCCGCAACCTGGGAATCAACGTATATAGTTAATTGTACACCAGATAGTACCGAATGTTACTCACCGTGAAGTGTTTGAGTGGTATATACGTAAATTAAGTAAAATACTCTTTGATTGCGGTCTAAAGTTATGTCAACGTTAGCTTTTTGGCGTGATGTTTAGCTAGTTGTTAGGCCTTTTGTTAATTTTTAAGTCTAATCAATTTAAAGTACATCGTATTCACTGTATGCCACTCCAGTTGCATTAAGTTTATTCCTAAATTATGGCAACGCTTTAATCCACGTTAGCTCGTTTAGTTTTTTGAGAATTACGGTTAACCTACAATGCGTCGGTCTGTGAGTTGCAAGTGGTAACGGAGTTATGTTTTTATGTGATGGTAGCGTTTGTGACTACAGATTTTGTTGATGCTAATAAAAAACGGGATAATACCGAGTTTGTCTGCAACAACAGGCGCTTCTTGAGAGCAAACTCAAGTCATTCAGCATCGGGAAGATGGCAGTGGCAAAGAGGACCTTGAGCAAGAAGGAACAGGATGAAATAAAGAAAAAGGCAAGCTGTATCATAAAACTTACTATTTTTGCAGCATATTCTATTTTAAAAGACGAATCTAAAAATTTATACAATATATATATATATATATATATTGTTTGTTTTCGTAATAAACTAATTTATTTGAATTTACTTTGTTCAGGAAGATGAGCGAGCAGCAGCAGAGATCTATGAAGAGTTTCTTGCTGCTTTTGAAGGAGGAGCAGAGGGTAAAGTCAAGACCTTTGTTCGTGGGGGTATTGCAAATGCAACAAAAGGTACATTCTACTATTTTTTATCAATACAAGTTGCAGTGTGTGTGTGCATGTGCGTGCATTCATTAATAAAATTTTCGGTGCCACTTACATGACATCACAATCAACAATGAATGCAACAACTTAAAGATGACAGGAACTCTAGTAAATCAGCTGATCAAGAAGTTCAAGTCCATATTTTGCATAAATTGCTGGTTATTATATAAACCAAGGAATGAAACTGTACGTCTGGTGGTGTGTGCTTTTATTGAAGGAGCCTTTGTTCTACAGTAACATTGGCATTTTTAATGCTGTGAACATGCATGATGCAGACTGTCATCGTCCTACTTTCCAAACATGTTTAACTGGTAAAAAAAAATATTAGGATATTCCACCAGATTTACATAGGTGAAATTGTCTGTTATGGATGTAATTTAAGCCAACATTACTGTTTACCATTCTCTGTGTAGAAGAAGCAGCTGCTGATGAGAAAAGAGGAAAGTTATACAAGCCCAGGTCACGTTTTGAGTCCCATACAAAAAGCATCCTGCCTTTGGAGACTCCATCTCAGTTTTTACCGTTAGACAAAAGAAACGTAAGTACTATCAAAGTCAGCACATGTTGTCTGTTACAGATTTATTTTTACTCAACTAATAATGTGTGTTTGTCTGTTTCAGACTGTGAAGAAAAGTAGTGAAAAAGAAAAGAAGAAGAGCAACTTGGAGCTTTTCAAGGAGGAGCTTAAGCAGTACGTATCAAAAGGACCTGGAACTTGTGTTTTACACAAATATTCACAGAAGTTGTATAAAAGTAAAAAACTGATGTGATTTTTCTGTAGAATTCAGGAAGAAAGAGATGAAAGACATAAGATGAAAGGACGGGTTAGTCGTTTTGAACCTCTGCCTGGAATGGAAGGAAGACGCTGTGAGTATTTAAAGTTCATGGACCAACGTGCCCCCCCAGAACACATGCGTCCCCCCCCCCCCCCCCCCCCCCCCGTTTTTCTTTTTCCTAAAACATAATTTTTATGGCTCTTTTGCTTCTTTTAGTGGATGGTTCTTCAAGAAGAAACCGTCCGTCCAGTGGTAATTTTAACTCTGAATAGTGACTGAATATTTTTAACCTGCTAAGAAGATTATTTATGCTTTCAGACAGCAAAAGGAAATCTTTTTCTCTTTTCTGTGTCTGCAGTATTGGATGACAGCGCCCCGGGTTCCCATGACGTTGGAGACCCTTCCACCACTAACTTGTATCTTGGAAATATCAACCCACAGGTAACCTTTTCTCCAGTCTCGTACTGAATGGAAGGAAAGACTCCAAGAAGCTAAGTGAGGCACTTTTGTTATAAAAGCACGAGCTGGGTTGCAGCTTTGCTTGGATTTAAAATTTTACTGCTTCATTTTAAGTAGGTATGTTGTTTAAATGTATCAATTTTCTGTGGTTTGAAACTAATTATTTCCTGTGTGAATCATTCTAGATGAACGAGGAGATGCTGTGTCAGGAGTTTGGTCGATACGGCCCACTAGCCAGCGTAAAGATCATGTGGCCGAGGACAGATGAAGAGAGAGCTCGGGAGCGGAACTGTGGTTTTGTAGCCTTCATGAACAGGAGAGATGCTGAGCGAGCGCTCAAGAATTTAAACGGTACTTTTTTATGTCAAATAACAAAAACTTAAACACAGTTTGAATTTTTCAGCCTCCTCATGTTTAAATTTTTCCCAAATTTCAGGAAAGATGATTATGAACTTTGAGATGAAATTAGGATGGGGCAAAGGAGTGCCCATTCCGCCCCATCCCATCTATATCCCTCCCTCCATGATGGAGCATACTCTCCCCCCACCGCCCTCTGGCCTGCCCTTCAACGCTCAGCCCCGGGAGAGGCTAAAAAACCCAAACGCTCCCCTGCTTCCTCCACCCAAAAACAAGGAGGAGTTTGATAAGGTAATTCAGAACGTCACACACTCACTTCATGGGCTGTGGCTGTTTTGTTTTTTAAATAATGCTGGTGAAACGTTTGGTTTGAGCAGTCAGTCCAGGTTTTACTTTTGGTTTCTGTAACTTAGTTTTCATGCTGAATAAGATAAAATTAAACATGTGACTATAAACTGTTAGTCTGTGATAGGATGTGTGTTTTAAAGTAGGGTGGGTTTGTTGTCTCTATGCACATTTAAATGCATTTCTTATATTTTTCCTTGTTGCCTTTTTAACAATACTCACATTCTATGTTTATTATCTGATGTGACTTCATATACAGACTCTGTCGCAAGCCATAGTCAAAGTGGTTATCCCAACAGAAAGGTACATGTTTTTTCTTTTTTCAAATTGGTGTTCAAACTTTGAAAACAAACAGAAACATCCCATAATGAAATGAAAGCCTGATCAATTGATCACTGCATGCTACAGGGGGCTGATGAGTGTGGATGAGCAATGGTTGACATGATTGGACCCTGTTTACGTCCTGGAGTTCTGCTGACACCACCGTCGTTTATTTTTCTACACTTGTAGAAGTTCGATAGATCTGATTTAATTCCTGTTCAGGGTCGAAGGTCATCGCTACCGAAACATCTTCCCCTACTTCCGTGACGCGATATTCTGCTTAGGGTTGCAACGAATAACCGGTTTGACTAATAAGCACGGTGTGAAATGCTTCGGTTAATTCACGTTAGGACTTCTCCAACTCTGCCCAAAAACAGTCCGCTGGAACCAAAGCCTGGAGCGGACGCACGCACGCATGTGGGAATATTCTAGATTCCCAGAGATGCTAAAGGAGAAATTCAGGACGTCCATCTGCAGAGCTTGTAGTTGCGGCTGAAGGACAGCAGTACCTCAGGAGGTAGAGTGGGTTGTCTGGAAGGTTGCAGGTTTGCTGCTGTTGTGTCCTTGGGCAAGACACTTAACCCGCCTTGCCTGCTGGTGGCGCCAATATATGGCAGGCCTCTCCTCTGTCAGTGTGCCCCAGGGCAGCTGAGGCTACATCGTAGCTCATCGCCATGTGGATGTGAATGACTGATTGGGGGGTGTATAGAACCCTAAGAAGGCGCTATACAAACACAGGCCCTTTACTGTCAAACTCCTCTGATCATCCGTGTCTCTGAGATCATCAAATAAGCCACAGCTGAGTCAAATTACATCTGTTCATAACAAACTGATATGGCAGTTCTCCATAGCAATAATATAATTTATGCTACTACTAATAATAATCTTACTAATCAACAGTGAAAATAAATAAGGACATGCGTAACCAACACATCCTCACACCCAAAGCGTAGAAAAATGACGCGTGTGACCAAGCGTCAAAATATGACGCGCAGGGACACCGCGGGTGTCGGTATCCGTGGTGAGATGGACATTTGACCGACTTGTGAACTACTTAACCTTCCCCTCAACCCCATCCTGACCTTAACCAGCTTGCGCATGCAAAGCTTAACTGAAAATCACTGAGTTAAGGTTAGGATGGGGGTGAGGGAAAGGTTAAATCGCTAGAGGTTCGAGGAATAATGTCCGTGTCACCGCGGCCGTCGGATACTGACGCCCGCGGTGACACGTGTTCTTGCGCGTCCTCTCCCGACGCGCCGGGGCTCCCTGATCGTCATATTTTGACGCTTGGTCACACGCGTCATTTTTCTGCGCTTTGGGTGTGAGAATGTGTAGGCGTAACAACTGCACTAGTAAGAGTTTAGCATCTCATTTCCTTCCGGGTCTCCGTCCTTCAGTGTTGACTGGAATACATTTATAAAGTTTTACACTGTAATTTTCTAATCCCAGAGATTACTTCTGGTTTACAAAAGCAGCATCTCTGAAAAGCAGCAATAAATATCGTCTGGAGTTCAGAACCTTTATAGGACGTGTTTGTGTGATTTTTACACAGTTGTAAAATTAAAATAACTGCAGTAATTATGAATCGGTGACGATTTCTCGGACCACTAACCGTTCTAATCATTGCGACCGTGATTCTGCTTCATACATGCTCTGTAGTCCTCCATCTGGCCATTGCTCACTCAGACCGTCTCCCCCCTTTGGCCTCTGTCACTCGATGGCGAGCTCAGTCAATCTGGCCCAGATCAACAAAACCAAACCTGCTAGCATTAGCCTAAATACGACCTTTGACATTGGCCTCGGTGAGCAGCACAAGCTGAACTGTCTGCAGCAGCGAGGGACCTGAAAAGCATCATGGGATGGATTGGGAAAGTATACAGAATTTTACCCCGTCACCGGTACGATCGGCTCCACTTTGAGTAAATGTTATCTGTGTTGTCACATGAAAGGCATCCTTAGTCATGTTGGCCACTTTAGACTAATCTGATGTAATCTGCAACACATATTCCCCCTTAAATTGTCACAGAGAGCTTTAGATGCACCACATTCCTCCAGCAGTAGTTAATCTGTCAGGAGATCAGCGGGAGCCGAAACGGCCCCCCCACTTCCAATCCAGTCGTAAATCCTTATTTTATTGGAAGGGATTTTAAAAGTGCAGCGCTATTAAAAAATCCAGCACTTTAAATAATCATGCATTCATTTTCTAACTGAAAATATATTTTATTTCTTATTGACAAAGAAATGTTTTTATTTTAAAAGGCATCTATTCATGTAGGCTTAAGGGCTTGGTCACAATCGCGCTCAACTTATTCCTGGTGGCGTGACTAACTGGCCCAGCTGTGGGTGTCGCGCCACCAGGCATAACTTAAGCCTTTAAGGGTTGAAGTAGAGCTCAGGAGTGTGTTGGTCTGAATCCATTTGCTTTAACTGTGTCTTTCTTGTAGGAATTTGCTCTCTCTCATCCACCGCATGATCGAATTTGTGGTGCGTGAAGGCCCAATGTTTGAAGCCATGATCATGAACAGAGAACTCAACAACCCAATGTACAGGTGTGCATCACAAGTGTTCACAAGAGCCTCATCCAGGAGTATAAATCCTCCTATTCACACTTTTAATTGTTCTGATTCTTTTTATCTTTCAGGTTTTTGTTTGACAACCAGAGCCCAGCACACGTGTATTACCGCTGGAAGCTCTACTCCATACTACAGGTTGGTTTTGTGCAATAAAAATGGCTCCAGCTAAAATGCCAGAACAGCGTTTTGTGTTCACATCCTGATGATTCTCAATATTTAACTTCCCCCCCCCCCAGGGCGAATCGCCAGCCAAATGGCGAACAGAGGACTACAGAATGTTTAAAAATGGCTCTTTGTGGCGTCCACCTCCTCTTAATCCATACCTCCATGGTCCTTATGATGATGGTGATGAAGAGGAGGATGAAGAGGAGGCCAACAAGAAAGGCTGCTTGAAAGAAGAGTAAGACCACCCTTGTATGAATAGTTGTTCATGTCGTGTTGAATGTATGGGACATCTTTAGTGTTTAACTCCACACTTTAGCCTGAATCGGTGCTGACTCAGGCTAACATGTCTAATAACGGTATCTGTGGACCCTTAAAGCCTTAAATTAGGTTTCATATTATTAAGGCCTAACAAATCATTAAAAATGACTAGTAATCCTTAAATTCAGAGTCTAAAGGTCCTAAAAAATACCTCAGGAAATCTCATTTCATTCAGGTAGGGGTGGGAGGGGCTGCTTTCAGGTTAGCTTCTTTAGCTAGTGGACACGTTAGCCATGGGGAAGTACGTGTTTAGTTTGCTTTTGGACAATAAAGGCATTTTCATCTTCTGGAGAGCAAGTCTCTTGATGTTATTTTTCAGCGCTTTCAGGTCCAAAAAGTTGGACAGAACGGTTTGTAGAGTGGACACACCCCTTTTTCACTCTGAGAATGTGAGGTTTTACTTCTGGTTTCCTTAAACCTGCAGCCAGGCTGAGCAAGTCACTGGCGAGCCTCAAGCCTCTGCAGATACGAGTAGATCAGCTACTAATTAGCTGCCTTTGAATGTTCGCCAACACCTGTGGAGCCGTTACCGTGGTAACAGATGCAGCATGCACCCAGAGTTCTCTAGATGAGCTGTGATGTTAGACGAGGAAATGACTGACATCTTACCGTCTCTGATCTGTGGCGGATTCAGTGTCTTTACTAACGAACCGCCTGCTGGTGTCTCCAGGGAGAGGGACAAGCTGGAGGAGATGCTCCGAGGTTTGACTCCTCGGAGGGGCGACGTCGCTGAGGCTATGCTGTTTTGTCTGAGCCACGCTGAAGCTGCTGAGGAGATTGTAGAGTGCGTCACGGAGTCCCTGTCCATCCTAAAGACCCCTCTACCAAAGAAGGCATGAGCAGAACACGCGTTATACAGTTCTGGTTCTCTTAACAGGTTCTAACTTGTGTTGCTTTCACCTGCTTCAGATTGCACGGTTATATCTCGTCTCTGATGTGCTGTTCAACTCTTCAGCCAAAGTGTCCAACGCGTCTTACTACAGGAAGTAGTGAGTAGTCTAACTTTAGTCGGACCAGATTAGTTTTTCTCCTGTGAATTGTTCACCTTCTCTGTTCTTCTCCATAGTTTTGAGACAAAGCTCTGCCAGATTTTCTCTGACCTCAACGCCACGTACAAGACGATACAAGGCCACCTGCAGAGCGAGAACTTCAAGGTAAAAATCCTCACAAGATGTAAGAAGGTCCTAGAAACGTAGTTGCATCATTGGTTTTTTTTTTTAATAGCAAAGGGTGATGTCATGTTTCCGGGCGTGGGAGGAATGGGCCGTATACCCCGACCCCTTCCTCATCAAGCTGCAGAACATCTTCCTGGGTCTCGTTAACCTCACCGTGGAAAAGGAGGCTCCAGGTGTCGTTATTCCAGAGGTACGTAGCTCTGTCTTTTACGTGATTATTACGTGTCTCTTTAGACTTTTACAAATGTGTTCATTGATTCTTTTTTTTTTCTTTTATCCCTCCATCATGTGACAGCCTGAGCCAGCAGAGGACCTTGATGGTGCTCCCCTGGGTGAGTATGTAGACGGCGCCCCATTGGAGGATGTGGACGGGATGCCCATCGATGCAGGAACCCTCGATGGGGCACCGATCGACGGCGCCTCCCTGGACGACTTAGACGGAGTTCCCATCAAGTCCATAGATGAGGACTTGGATGGAATCCCTTGTGAGTCAAGCGGAAACTCGTACAAAAGCGGAAAAGTTTTCTCTGAATGATGCTGCATTACTGGTTCTGGTGTTTACAGTCGATCAGTCGAAGGAGGCAGCTTTCAAGGTAGCGCCGTCCAAATGGGAAGCAGTAGATGAGACGGAGCTAGCATCTCAAGGTAATGTTCCTGCTGAAGTTGCCGGTTTATTAAAGGCTCTGCTGGTAGCACGCGTCTGACGGGATGCTTTTGTTCTCTCAGCCGTGACGACCTCCAAATGGGAAGCGTTCGAGCAACCAGATGAGTCAAAAAAGTGAGTTCTTCCGTCGTAAGAACAAACGGCTCTTAGACTCTTCAGTGTGTATTATTAAACTTCTCCATCTACAGTAGGGCTGAGGACAGCGGTGAGGATGAGCGGAGCCCCCGCTCCGACGATAACCAGACCTACTTCAATCCTATCCGAGATGACTCCGACACGAAGGCCAAGATGAACGAGGAGAAACGCAGCAAGCTCAGAGAGATCGAGGTTTTATTCCTTCAATCGTAGTGGTTTTATTCATTACAGCTGGTTGTTGTGATGAGTTTATTTGTGTTTTTCAAACAGGTGAAAGTCATGAAGTTCCAGGATGAGTTGGAATCTGGGAAAAGACCCAAAAAATCAGGCCAGACCATTCAGGAGCAGGTGGAGCACTACAGGGACAAGCTGCTACAAAAGGTAATGACCTGGGTGGAGTCCACCGCACGCAGGACCCGACAATGGACTAAAGTCTTCGATTACTCTTCCCTCAGGAAAAAGAAAAGGAGAAACTAGAGCGAGAGAAAGAGAAGGAGAAAAAGGAAAAGGAGAAAGCCGAGGCGCGGTTGAAAGAGCTGAAGAAGGAAAAGGAAAAGGACGACACGCCAACCAGAAAGGACAGGTGGGTTTGGTTTGCTATGGAGGACAGGTTCCACGTTTTACACCACCTGATGTTTGTTCTTCCTGTTCCACAGGAAGCGACACCACAGTGGGTCCCCCAGTCCAACCAGGAGCGCCAGCAGACGCGGTCGGTCCGCGTCACCACGTTCTGAACGATCAGAACGCTCTGATCGATCGTATTCTAAAGACACATCCTCCCGCGCGTCCCATAAAGACTCTCCTCGCCCCAGCAGCAAAAAATCCTCCAAGAGGTACAACCTTTAGCTTTTTTTAATAAACCAAAAGTTGAACTTTGTCTAAAGCATTCTTTTGCTCACCAGATCTCCGTCATCACCTCGCACACCTAAACGATCGCGGCGGTCGCGCTCCAGAACGCCCAAGAAAGCAACAAAGAAGTCCCGCTCCAGATCGAGGTCTCCTCACCGATCCCACAAAAAATCAAAGAAGAGCAAACACTGATCCTTCAGTCGGCCTTCGTCTCAGATCGGGAGGACAGCAAAGACTGGGGGGGGGTTGCATGGGTGTCCATTAAATAGATGGAGCCGCTGCTGTTTTATATTGTAAAAAAATAAATGTGTTTGATTGTCCTAATTCTCAGTAACATTCATCCACATGGTAGTCCACGGCTGTAGAGCGTGAGGACGAGTCTTCAGACATGGTGTCGGTTTCTGTTTTTGTAGTATACAATAAAACTATTCCTAATAAAAAATTTGTTAACATTTCAGTCATCAGTGATGTAGCACCGTACAAAGGACCACCACACTTACCCTGAATGGTTCCTTAAGCTTTTTTATTCAGCTTGACTTATGTCAAATTCTGTGATCTGGATCATTTTTACCATCTTAAAAAAATAAAAAATCACTGCTGTTAAATCACAGCTTCCTCAGCTGCCTTCAGCAACACGTAGACACCAAATATACGGGTACCTGGAAACGGTGATGTCAGATGAAAATGTACACGGGGAATTAAAAGAAAAACATACATCTGTGCTAGAGGGAACTTTTGGGACATCCTGCAGCTCCATGGACCTGGATGGCGATGTCCACCACCTTACTGCCCATCCTGGCTCCTGCCACTTTGATCATAGCAACCTAGGACAGGAACAGGTGATTCAAATGCACACATCTCCAGTCTGGATCTGTAAAATAGACCAGTAACAGTTTAACCTGCATGTGGGCAGCACAGCTTCCCAGTGTGTCCCGAGAATGAGCTGCATTTGAGAAGGGTCAGCAGGCGGGTCTGGTCTGTCATCACTCTGCTATCCAGTGAGTTACGACTTGCTTCAGACCACGGATGGAGCAGATTTAGCCAGATTGTCAGAAAATCTCACCAGAACGGTGATGAATCTGGTTCACTCACATGCTGGTGCAGCTTTTTCTCCAAACGTTTGTCTGGAAGCAGCACGCTGGACCAGCAGCTCCCATACTCTGGCGCACCTTGCACGCGCATGTTTTCAAAGTGCACCTCAAAGTGGCCGCCATGCACGGAGTCTGAACTCAGAAAACACGCATCAAATCCTGGAAGTTCTACTTTTTTCTGCAAAAAATGTTGAAAACAAGAAGTTTATGCAGATGTAACGAACTCCTACCCTCTCGCCATGTTGGATGAGCTTCACTCCTGGGGAATCCTTGGGTACCAGGACCGTACTGTGCTGGCTCTATCAGATATAAGTTCATAATTAATCCCATGGTTGCCTGATTTATTATAAAACTTGAAGTTTTATTTAACAGCTGCTGTTGCTGGTGAGAATTTTCCCTTGATTCTCCCAGTGGCGTGTCCAGATCTTTTAAAATGGGGTGGCCCAGGTGAGGCACAACTTTGTGCATGGGTGGCACCAATGGTTATGCTTTTTTTGTTTTACCCCCAAGCCTTTTGTGGACAATGAAAAGCCCATTTAAAGATTAATTAGTGTGGTGGCACCTGGGGTGGCCAATCAGATTCCAAGGGTGGCATGTGAATGCGTCCTTTAGTGCAAAATGAGTCCGGTCGTGGATCGCTGCAGAGGGAGAGGCGCTGGATGTCTTGTTTTAATTCTGAGTTTTTATTTTATTTTTTTTAAATGTCGGAGAATTTGACCAGGAAATAACCGGAGCAACTTCTGGTTCGCATAACCTTGAAAAACAGTCCTGTATGCTTATCGGTGCGTTCCAGCCCACTTAAAACAATGTTTTGGCCTTAATATTAATGAAAATAATTTGTATCTATTATGAACATGACAAGGAAAACAATCATGACTTTTTAACCGAACATTTCTAGCGCGAGCTCTGAATAATCTGATTCATTTATGAGTTTAATTATGACTATGGCACCACGCCTGGTCCACATCCAGTCAGAACATTCTGATATTCTCTTGATTAGCAGCTGGGATGTTTTATGTTTACGACCACAAGGTATTGTTGTTTTTTCAACATGCACTTTCAAGTGAAGATTACTGACGTGTTCTTTCAGCCAGCTCCATGCACCTCAGCGCAGATGCTGCTGGTGTCGATCCCTGCGCGAAGGTGCACGGAGGCGGATAAATCGGCTCTGTATTTCTTTCCACATGCCAGATGGAAGTGCAGCACGCGTGGAGCGCCTCCCGGTAATGGTGCGCCTTTTGCGCAAAACGCGGTCCCTTGAGGAGCGCGGGTCCGGCGTTCCAGGAGTGGATGCGCTGCAGAGTAACCTACTGGATGGCTGTTGTTCGAGGCAGATAATTGTATCTGAGACTGCGACTAATAAATTAATGGAATGAATCCAAATTAGACGTGGCGGTGCCCGAAACACACCTACCGGTCCTGCAGCACACACCGGAAAACAACTAAACTAATTGTGTGCGTGTGTGTGTGTGTGTCTATATATATATATATATATATATATATATATATATATATATATATATATATATATATGTATATATATATATATATATATATATATATATATATGTATATATATATGTATATATATATATATATATATATATATATATATATATATATATATATATATATATATATATGTATATATATATATGTATATATATATGTATATATATATATATATATGTATATATATATATGTATATATATATATATATATATGTATATATATATATATATATATATATGTATATATATATATATATATATATATGTATATATATATATATATATATATATATTTAATACAATATAACACATATATAATATATATGTACAATTTTATACAAATAGTGTATATATTTGTTAATTTTTTATATAATAAAAATACATATAATAAATATATATTTTATTGTATATGTATATGTTGTATTAAAAATATATAATACAATAGAAAATATTAAAATATGTATATATTTACAACAAAAATACATATATATTTTACATATTAAAGGAAGCTAGTGTGAAAATATGCTTTAATGATATAAAGATTTTTAGAATGTCACATTTAAACCAGTGCACTCACACGGAGAAGCAGAAGGTCGCACCAGAAGCACCAAAGCTGCAGCTGCACCTCATTAATACTAAAGTTAAGACGTTCTAGAACCTAGAGCTCTGTTGTTGTTGTTGTTGCTAAGCAACACTCCTTTGGAGCCAGCGTAGTTCACGTTAAAACCACACCTCTTTGTGACGTCATACAGTGACCAACCCAACAGTCCTCTGCCACTCATCGGATCTTCAGATCTCAGTGAGACACTCGGAGACAGAGGTGTTCAATCGTCAGTCAACAGGTTTTCAACCTACTATTGAAGCATTGTTTACCACTATGGATCATTATTCTGCCCACAGTTCTGCACACGCTGCAGCTCTGGAAACAGATTCAGAGAAATATCTGGGCATGGCACCATGGACAGTGTCAAATTTGCTTAAATCAACCAAACGGAAAGCTGTTTCTGATTATGAAGTTCCCAGGAAAAGAATTAGGATTTCTGAAGAAGAGATCCATCTTAGCCACGATCAGAAAAAAAGACTGAACGCGTTAAAGAGGCATCTACGTGACGGGTCTGAGAAAGCCTCGTCTCCAGAAATAGGGAACGTCTTTTCTGACAATAAACCTCCCAGGAAAAGAATTAGGATTTCTGAAGAAGAGATCCATCTTAGCCACGATCAAATCAAAAGATCGAACGAGTTAAAAAGGCGTCTACGTGATGAATCTGAGAAAGCCTTGTTTCCAGAAATAGGGAACGTCTTTTCTGACGATAAACCTCCCAGGAAACGAACTAGGATTTCTGAAGAAGAGACTCTTCCTACAAAACACCAGATTCAGGTCAAATTAGACGGATTCCCTAAAAGAGAATCGAAAAGCCTTTTCTCTCCTCACAGTGCCTGGGCTTTAGCTAAAAGTCTATTTAAAACCAAATATAAACAGCAGGATCAGCTTGGTGAAGGAGGCTGTGGATCTGTGTACGCTGGATACCGGAGGTTTGACAAGTTACCAGTAGCAATCAAACACGTACCGAAGAAAAACATTGTCTGGACAGACGCAGATGAGAATGGATGGCAGCTCTCCACAGAAGTCGCTGCTATGTTAAAACTGGAGACAGGAAGAGACCGTTCAATAGGAAGGTCAGCACCAATTTCCCTCCTGGACTGGTACAATCTGAAGAAGGAACTTATTCTGGTGTTGGAGAGGCCAGTGCCCGCAGTGGACCTCTTAAAATACATTGAAAAGAACAAAAAGCCTCTGGATGAAAATCAAGCTAAGATCATTATAAAACAGCTGGTTCATGCTGCTAAACATCTGGAGGACAACAAGATTTTCCACAGAGACATCAAACCAGAAAACATACTGATTGAAACTGGATCAGAAACGCCACGACTTCGCCTTATTGACTTTGGGCTGAGTTGCTTTACCGACCAAACATCAGACGGCTGCTTCTACGGCACAGAGAGATTTGTTCCGGCTGAGTGGCTGTCCGAAGGCGTTTACGACGCCGGACCAGCAACCGTGTGGCAGGTTGGAGCGGTTCTGTACGAAACACTCCACAAGAAAGAGTTCAACTCTGTTAAGTTTGTCAAAAACAAACAAACAATTAGCAAGCGGCTCTCCAGAGACTGTAGGAGTTTCCTACAGAAATGTCTGACAAAGAACTCGGGGCGTCGTCCCACCTTAGAGGAGCTCCAGCATCACCCTTGGATCTGTGAAAA